GCTATATTATCCGCATTTTACAACATTTCGCAACGAAACTTTGGAATATTTACTAATTTTGTGATGCTCTTTCAAGCTGTGATGAAATTTTTGTCTAGATCAAAATTTAGTCTATAATGCAAATGGTCCATTGCTGGAAGTATTTTCCTCTGCACTCTTACACACGTAAAAACGCAAGTTCTTGCAGATCCGGCAAACAAGTTGTAACAAGGTTGTTGTCAAACCGATACCAGGATGTGTTCGCACTGCTTGTTCCCAGTTGTTGTGACAAGTCTGGAACAAGTTGTTATCATCTTGTTATACAAGGTTGATGACGGTAACAGATTTGCTACGAGCTTGTTACGGGCAGACGATATCAGACGAGTCTGTTGGCCTCATGATCAACCTTGTTACAAGATAATAAGGTGAACAGGCCTGCAAATAATTATTTTACTTCGAAGGACAAATGTCTGGCCATCGGACATTTATCAATTTTTCTCGGACAACAGACAAAGTAAAATTTTTCATTTTTTCCCTTAAATTAGCACGATGTTTTTTGCTTGGTCATGTTAGTGCGCACTACAATGTGTCTAAAACTTACTATATATCTATCAGTCCCAATGTATCAGTAAATTATAGTTCATGCAGATCATATACATAAAGTTATTTTCGAAGGTGATGTAGATTTCTAATTAAATCTTACGGTTTAATGCAGGAAGAAATGGTGGAGAAGTGCTGTCTATGTTGCTTTCTTGTTGGTTTCATTAATAAAAAAGTGTTAAATAAGCAATTTTGTGAGATTGGAGATTTGACCAACCTATTAAATCGGTCGGTCACATATGTCCAATCATAAAAAGCTTTGATCGGACAAAATGTAAAATTTGGCCGAATGTCCGATGAGCGACACTAATAGACCTTTCCCCTTTTGAGTGTAACAGCTTGAAAGAGCATCACAAAATTAGTAATATTCCGAAGTTTCGTTGCGAAATGTTGTAAAATGCGGATAATATATAGCCTTGCGAAGTTTGCCGTTTTTCAGTCATTTTGTATTACAAATGGGAAATTGATAATCAGTTTGATCATCTGATTCTCAATTTCCCGTTTGTAATGCAAAATTACCCAGAAAGATCTCGGGATCATTATTTCCAACGACCTGAAATGGAACAAGCAAGTTCATGGCACAGTATTAAAGGCAAACATGATGCTTGGCTTCATCCGACGATCAGCTTCTGACATCAACAACATCCAAGTCCGCAAGATTCTTTACCTGTCTTTGGTTAGAAGCAAATTGGGGTATGCCAGTCAAGTGTGTGCACCCCAAACAGTAACTAACATCGCTACAATGGAACGCGTCCAACGTCGTGCCACCAAATTCATCCTTTCCCTCCCTTATAGATCAGACGTTTTGTACAAAGACCGTCTCCAATCTATCGGTATTCTTCCCATCTGCTATTGACTCGAGTTTCTAGATTTAGTTTATCTCTACAACTGTGTTGTTAATGACTCTGATACAAACATCTCAATTCGGGTTTCTAATCGTAGAACCAGAAACTCTAATTCCGACAATGGTATTCTACTAAATGTACCTAAATCCAAGACTGTTAGCTTTCAAAACAGTTTTTACGTAAGAGCACCCAGCGTTTGAAACATTCTACCCGATATCCTCAGAGACACTACAAGATCTACAGCTTCCTTTAAAAGTTTACTATTTAGATACTACTTTAACCTTCTTGAACAAGTCTACGGCCCCAATGGAAAGTTTGTGCTTACAAAAAAATATGGTTTAAACTTTCGGATATTTCCTTCATTGAAACTTCATTGAAGCTGGAATAATCCTTAACCCATTGAGTCGCATTGCGCCCTGATGCACCCACTTTATTTTTTTACTCTGACTAACGTCAGACCACTTACGGATTACTTATTATTGCCAAACGTCCCTACTGTCATTTAAGTTGCCATCACCATATTAGGATGGAATCACCTACAGGCACATGATCACACTACGATATAGATCCTACTCCACCCTTACCATCATAATCATTCAAACTCACTGTACTATTGAGTAGGCTAGCTCTAAAAGGACCTGTCATTTGCTCTGCTTCAAAATTAACTAAAAAGATGAACAATAAAATACGTGGTGTTGGAATGTCCCGCACTAACAAGACCTTTGGTAGGATAACTTGACTAATAATATGTAGTAGTTGTATCATTTTTCACTATCTTTCCGCCTTTCATTTTTGTTAATACTGTGTAATTGGTTATTGTCAATAACTTCGTAATAAGTTGTTTTTCTGTTTTCGTAATAAGTTGTTTTTCTGTCGTGCGTCATCAACTTAGCTAAACAGTTCGATTTTTATATAGGACGAAAGAGCTGTTATTTAGCTTTTCTTTGATATCTTTTTTAAACCGTAATGATGAGAAATGGCCACATACTCGTCAAATAAAAATTGCCGGTCGAAATAGATAGCGAAAACTCTTATCAACTCTCATTAAAAGTTGAACCAGTTCAAAGTCAACGAGAGTGGATAAACCAACCAAATTCTACTTACATGAGTTTTCAAACACTGGGAACAAGAGTGGCGGCATAATGAGAGTTGACTGGATGTTCTGGTTAAACGAACAAAAACTCTCATAAAAAACTTCTACCTGCATGCTCAAAGTTCATGACTGTTGGGTTTTGGTTTAAAAGAGTTCTTTAATCTATGTTATAAACTGGAAAATTTCAAAGTATATTTCATTCTACCATGCATTCTAACATTCTACTCTACATAATATTTACAAAAAATTTCAAACATGTCCACATCACAACAGTCAAGCAGTTCTTTGATCTATGCTAAATTTTAAAACTTTTGACATATATGTCAAAGTTTAAATATTCTACAAAAAATATATATACAATAATTTTCGATCATGTCTAAATCACGACAGCTGTAGCTAACCATCTAGTTTCCTTCATGTCAGGAAGTTCCTCCCATGAAAATCGCTCAAAATTGAAACCTTCAACTGATTTCAAATAATGGTATCTCTCACCCACCCCTCCTAGTACTACAATTGTATTCTCAATTACAACTGCCATACATCCTTTCCTCTTGTGTAACATGGGAGGCAACATATGACTGTTTCCAGTCTTGATGTTATAAATTATAACAGTGTTTAATGGTTTATCATCCTTGTCAGCCCCACCAATGATCACGACATTCTCAGCCCACTTGACTGTCGCCATTTCACTCACTGGATAGGGAAGCGCAGGTAACTGTTGACATTCATTCTTCTTGATGTCATAGCTTAACACACTGCTGACGTTGCCTTCGTATCCCCCTGATTTTCTTCCCCCAACGATCAAAATACTATCATCACATAGTACAGTGCTGTGACGAGCTCTTGGTTCAGGCATCTTGGATATCAGTTTAACAGTGTAAGGTGGTTTAAGTTGGATTTCGTGAATACAGTCAGAGTAAGCGCATGTATATGCATTTACACCTCCAGTAACCAACAAGCTATCCTTGTACACCACACTGCTGTGTGCACGCATCTTAGCAGGGAATTTGGCAGCAAACCCACTCCAGTTATTTGAGGGATCAGTAACTGGGTGAATGTTCATTCGGATCATGTTATCTACAGAACTATCACAATAACCTCCCGCTACAGTCACGTGATTATTGTAAACAAATGAAGATGCGCTGTGACGATTCTCTGGTATAGGTTTTAATAAAGACCACAATCCCTGAGGGTAGTTAAATATTTCTACCGAGTTTGTCCGAAAACCACCAGCAACAAATATTTGTTGATTTTCTCTCCCGCCACTCGCTGTGCCACTTACATCTCTTGTGATTTCCTCCTGCTTTCTTTCTTTGCTCTCTATCTTCTCAAGTACTGCTTCTTTCAAGTGATCAAAGCCATCTTTTACTTCATTTAAATTCATTTTCATTCCTCTTACTTCATTATTCATCGCTTCGAACTTCGCTTCCACGTTCACCTGCAAGTTTGTCATTTTCGTGTTCATGTTTTCCAGTTTCGTGTCCGTGCTTGCCATCTTCGTGTCGATATTTGCCATTTTCCTGTTCACATCTGCTATTTCCGTTCTAATATTTGCTATGCTCGTGTTCGTGTTTGCATGATTCTTGTTGATGTTGGCTATTTTCGTGTTCTGGTTTGCGATTTCCGTTTTCATTCCCGCCATCATTGTGCTGATTTCTCCACAGTTGTGACACTTCAACTTTCTAAATTGACACAGTTCACTCTCGTGATATGTACGATCTCTTTTACTGATTGTCTCACCACAACCTTGATTTCCACAAACGACTGGAGTAAACCCGCATTCGGCGACATGTCGCTTTAAATTCTGCAGCTGTACGAGTTCTCGACATCCTCTGTCGTAATGATCGCAACGAATTTTTCGTTCATCCAAGTAATTCTTCACAATTCTTGGAACGTCTTGCAATGTTTCGACACTCAGCTCGTCAGCACACGTTGGGCATGTATGGGAATTCCTACGAAGATGTTCCGTGATGCAGCCACGGCAGAAATAATGCTCGTTTCTGCGGCACATCACGGGGTCTTTCAAGACGTTATAGCAAATCAAACAGTGGAAATTTTGGTCTACTATCGACTCAAATCTCTCGTCATCGTATCCGAGTGGATAATTTGCTGCCATATCTTATACTCGCCGTTCTTAGAGTGTCTTGTCCAAACAAGAATTTGATCTGAAATGAAATATTGAAACTTGAAAGTCTTGTGACAAAAAGGTCATGACTTGGCTTTTATTGTTGCATGGTTTTTGATTGGTTAAGCCGTTCCGTGTATTGGGATTTGTTTATGTATGTCAAACAACGATTTTTACTGTAATATGTCTGATATATAAGGAGTATAAGTATTCAAGATTTTTGTGGCCGCACTATATCTTACGCACAACAAGGATGCGATGTTGTGTAGATGTCCACTTCGGAAATTGGCGGCAGAGGTCGAGCGTTTAACGATTCTTTGTTTTTCGAGTTGATTTCGAAAAATTCCGACCATCGGCCATGGTCACGAGACAGCCATTCATACAAATATTGCGAATTGCAAAAGTTTATGACGTAAAACGGTCTTCTCTTGTGTTTATTACACAATATTTGCTAGTTTTATGCTTGATTTGTAAATCGCAGAACTAGTTTTGTTAAAGCGCAAAGCTCGGCGCAAAGAAAAACCTGTGTTTTGAGACAAAAAAATCTCTATCTGCTATATCAAATTGCGTGTGAAATATTTTTAAACTGTGAAATAATCAATATTACGTTTTATAGCAGGGGGCAAGGCCTGGCTATAAATGCTAAAGGCTTCATAATGATTAATGGACCTATTTCTGCTAACCTATTCCCTAATGAACAAAATTTTGATCTAGACAAGTCTGCACAAAAATTTCATCACAGCTTGAAAGAGCATTACAAAATTAGTAATATTCCGAAGTTTCGTTGCGAAATGTTGTAAGGGACTGGTCATAAAGTAATTGCTAGGGTGGGCTGGAGGTAAATCACAAATTTTGCCAATAAGTTTGGTGACCCATCTTAGGATGTAGATAAGAATTTCAAAGCCCATCTAATCTTGCCAAATTTATTTCATGACCCACCCACCCAATCTAAATTTTATAATAAAAAAAACTTGCAGGTATGAACATTGTAAATATACACCGGCACTGTATTGACATACATAATTCCATCAAGCTTGACCAACACATTCATCCACAATTACGATACTGAGCTGCTCTCCAGTTGGTTGTATTTGCTGCGATTCGACCACTTCTTGTTGTTGTATAAAACAAAGTACTGGCTTCAATAGCATCATTTGCATTTGATAACTTGGATAGTTTTGTTTACTTTTATTATTAATATCTTTATGTAATATATAATTAACATGGGTTTTTGTTTGGTGGCCCAACCGTGGACATACCAAAAAATTGGCAGCCCATCGAAACTGCCCAAAGATTTTCCATGGCCCATCCCAAATCACTCCAGCCCACCCTAGCAGTTACTTTATGACCGGTCCCTAAAATGCGGATAATAAAGCCCTGCGAAGTTTGCCGTTTTTCAGTCATTTTGTGTTACTATTACGCACGAGAAATTGATACCTATGACTGAAAAACGGCAAACTTCGCAGGGCTATGTTATCCGCATTTTACAACACTTCACAACGAAACTTCGGAATATTGATCAATATTACTAATTTTGTGATGCTCTTTCAAGCTGTGATGAAATTTCTGTCTAAACTTGTCTAGAACTAAATTTTGTTCATTAGGGAATAGGGTCCATTGGCCAAAGTCAACGACGTGACGTGTGCATGTAGTGTACGTATGTATCAGTGTATTAATGAATTCATCGACTTATTTTATTCAATTTTGCCGTTCATTACAATTACTACAAAGTTTTTTTTCCAAACATTGCATTAAAAGGGTACTTGACACATATACGAATAGCTATCGCTGTTTCAATTTTACAGAAAAACTTTCTTACGAAGTGTAGACCCTAAGCAACTAAAAAATGTCACTTTGATCTATCATTGAAACTTCCCAAGGGGGAGGTCCATGACTTTTCAGGAGAGGTGCAAAAATTCTCAGGGGAGATGCAAAACGATCTCAGGGTAGTTGTGCACCTCCCCACACCCAGGGCCGCCGAGAGGGGGGGGGGAGGGCAAATTGCCCCGGGCCCCCACCTTAATAGGGCCCCAACTTGAGAGCGAGAGCCTAAAATTGAGTAGGTTCTTTAAATTGGTCAGAGCATTTTTAAAAATTGAGGGCTCCTTACAGTACGTACCTTCACATGCAGTCTAGCTGAGGTCTAGTTGGGCCTAGCTTAAAAATAATGATGTCATGGGGCCCCCAGGGAAGATTTTCCCCGCGAATTCTCTCGGCGCGCCTCCCCACACCTTCCCAATTGCTGGAAGTATTTTCCTCTGCACTCTTACACAAGTTGTAACAAGGTTGTTGTCAAGCCGATATCAGGATGTGCGCACTGTTTGTTCCCAGTTGTTGTGACAAGTCTGGAACAAGTTATCACCTGATTATACAAGTTTGATGACGGTAACAGATTTGCTACGAGCTTGTTACGGGCAGACGATATCAGACGAGTCTATTGGCCTCATGATCAACCTTGTTACAAGATGATAAGGTGATTGTGAATGTCGGATGGAGTAGATAAGTTTAGGTAATATCACTTTCAATCTTCTATCTCAGGATTCGTCTCAAAATGGCGAGGCTGAAACAGCAAAACCAGATCCGAACGTTCATGGACCTAAAACACAAGATGATGTGATGGCGGAAGAACGAGCTACGAAACTAAAACAAGAGAAAGAGAAGGAAGGTTGGCGATGAAATTATGTACTATTTAAAACACGAGTAGGAGTGTTTTATCAAATATAAAACGCGAGGCGCAGCCGATCGTTTTATGTCTGATAAAACACTCCTACTCGTGTTTTAAATTAAATAGTACTTAAAATACGAATACAAAAGAATACTAATTAGGATGAACCATTATATAATTATACTAATTAGGATGAACAATTGTATAATGCCACATGCTTTATCAGATATAAAGTCACTCCACATGACATATTATTGCTGACATGATTTGCCACAAGGTTTATGAATTATTAATGAGTATGAATTATTAATAAGGAATGATATTAGCCTTCAGTCAGTCAGAATTAGTAATAATTTATTGGCACAGACCAAATCAGAACTGTGCCGACGTTACAAAAACGTGATTGTCCGCCAAATGAGAGTAGGACAGCGAGAGTTTACTGAGTTGATTGGATATTGGCACGCGCATAGCAAAAACTCGAAATTTTGAACAAATTTTGAGCAAATTTCTCGTTTTCCCAATTCCCACTCGTGTTGATATAACTGTATATCAACACGATGAGACAGGCAGAGCTTTCAACACCAGAAAAAAGGAACATGTGAGAAATGTTAAACAATTCAAGGACGGGTCTAACATCGCTAAACATGCTTGGTCAAATAATCATAAAATAGACTTTGAAAACAGCAAAATCATCGACAAAGGAAACTACCGTCATAGATCAACCCTCGAAAGTTGGCACACTGCGATTACAACTAATGCTGACAATAACTCGAAACATTTGCCTGAACAATACCGGTTTCTCTTAAAAAGATCTTGAACAGTTTATAGTCTATTTTTCTTGTTAATATAATATCATCATATATCTATAATGTAGGCGGAGCGGAAGTCTGCGGAACTGTTTAATTGTTTTTGTATGTAATTGTAAACCAATGTTTTTCCATGTAATTCATTATCACTTGCCCGTTGAAGACTGCAGACTGGCAGTCGAAAGCTCGTTTCAATAAATTTTTATAAACCAGAGAACGTCCAAACTATTAATATGAATAATCCTGGTTACGCTTCTACCATTTTCACATAAAATAAATGGTTAATGGTTTCATTCCAGTTCAAAGGCTTGAAGAAGAAGCGAAGTCAACGACGTCGTCTCTCCGACGTCAGGTTCAGCTAGAACGTCGTCGAAGAGCACAATTGTTTATCAACATGTTGAAGAAAACGAAACCTGGAGCTTCAGAACAAACTTCTGAAAACCAGGCTGATGACAGGTAATGATCACATGATTATTTTAAACGTAGGAGTCGTTTCCCTAGTTAATGTCTGAACTACCTGAAAAAGATGTCTCAAACGTGGTGGTCCAGTGTAGGTAGTATTCTACGATAAGCAGTCGTGGTTTATGTCTAAACTACCTGAAAAAAAATATCTCAAACACGAGGCGCCAGTGTAGGTAATATTGTATAATAATCTGCCGTGGTTTGTGTTCGAACTACCTGAAAAAGATATCTCCAACGTGGTGGTGCAGTGTACATACTTAAAACTCTCACAACTTGTCAACAAGATGTGTTCGCAACAGGCTTGTAGCAAGCTTGTCATCAAGTTGTAACAATGCTGTTATTTTATCAAGTTGCTACAAGATTGTCACTCACAACTTGTCAGGACAAATTGTTGAATTGCAGGACGATAACAAATTGTTGGAACAACTTGTAACAAGTCTGTTGAACTCAACAACTTTGTAGCCAGTTGTGAACAAGGCGTTGACAACTTGTCAACAAGCTGGGAACAAGCAGTGCGAACACATCCTGTTGACAAGTTGTTGAAACAGCATTGCTACAAGTCTGCTGCAGGTTTGTTACAACTTGTGCGTTTTTACGTGTGTAGGTAGTATTTTAGAATAAACTGACATGAACTGTGAACTACCTGAAAACGATATCTCAAACGTGGTGGTGTAGTGCAAGTATTAAATGTATGAACTACTTGAAAAAGATATCTCAAGGTAGGATGAACTACTTGAAAAAGATATCTCAAACGTATAGGTAGTATTCTACAATAAGCTGTCGTGGTTTGTGTCTGAATTACCTGAAAAAGATATCTCAAACGTGAAGTCCAGTGTAGGTAGTATTCTACAATAAGCAGTGAAGTAAATTGTGTCTGAACTGCCTAGAATGGATGTAATCTACCCCACCGAAGCCTCGTTTAATTTTCATGTACATGTATTTTATAATTTTAGTGAACCTCGTGCTCCAAGTTGAAAACGTTTGCATTTCATCAACGGTGAAATAATCGAAGATGAAGGAGCCCATTGCATTGTGAAGACATTGAAAAAGGTGTTATGAGGATATCACGTGCAATTAAAACAGGTATCACGAGGATATCACGTGCGATTGAAAGAGATATCATGAGGATATCACGTGCAATTGAAACAGGTATCATGAGGATATCACGTGCAATTGAAACAGGTATCACGAGGATATCACGTGCAATTGAAACGGGTATCATGAGGATATCACGTGAGCGTTAGTGAAGTTCCAGTGAAGAGAGTTGTCATGTACACTTCTCACTCTGAAGTAATGAGTTTGTGAAAGGAATTTGACAAGAGTAGTTTCAATGTATACAGCGGGAACCCAGGCAATCGGTTTATCCTAAACCATCTTGGGTTACAGTATAAACCGTTCTACACACGTAAAAATGTCGCAACTTGTCAACAAGATGTGTTCGCAACAGGCTTGTAGCAAGTTTGTCAACAAGTTGTAGCAATGCTGTTATTTTATCAAGTTGCTACAAGGTTGTCACTCACAACTTGTTCTGGGAACAAGCAGTGCGAACACATCCTGTTGACAAGTTGTTGGAACAGCATTGCTACAAAAGTCTGCTGCAGGTTTGTTACAACTTGTGCGTTTTTACGTGTGTAGTTTATAATATGTCCGTAGGAAGGTACACAATGACACGAATAACTACGCCGGCATCTTGCCAGCAAGCTACAGGGTATAAAGTACAAATGAGGTAGGAGGGAGGACACTTTCATGCATGCATTCTGGAATTCCGCGCTGCCAAAATTTCATCCGATTTTTTTCCGTGAAACGTTGGCCAGGTCTTTGGCCGTAGGCAACTTTGGGCAGGAAATTCCGGAATGCCTCTCCATGTAAAATCCCAAGAAAATATCATATAAATTAGGTATAAATCTGCCATGTGATTTTCCTTAGGCAATATTTTTTCAAATAGACTCCGATTTGCTTGAGCCGTTGAGCGCACACAACACACAAAGCGCGTGCAGAGCCTTGTATATAGTCGTTCTATTTTCAATTCCAGCGCTTTTTTACATCCGAAAACCGTACCAAATACTAGCCCAAAATTGACCAAAGCCAGCCGAGAAAAGGTCCCCTGGGCCTGGGCTGTGTTTTGTACAAAACTCTTTTGGTTGTGGTGATCAATACGAAAATAAGATGCGTAAAGTTTAATTTTTAATACATAAATTTACAACTAGGTTTTATCAATATAGAATATTTTGTCTATACAAATATTAAATAACGTATACAGCTAATCCAATCAACCTTTTGTCCAATAAAACATTTTCAGCCCGGTCACCAGGGATGAAATTTTCAGCTCGGGTAGCTTCAACTGAAAACTCTTAATAATTTCTTAATAATTTCTTAATAATTTCTTAATAATTTTATTTCTTAATAATTTCGGGTAATTTCAGCTGAAAACTCTCCATGTAATCCTGCTCAGGTTTTAAACGGTACTTAAAAGTTCTTTCGAATAACAGTTTCTAAACTGTTCTTGAATTAACTGTATACAAAATAAATAAGAATTTATTGCCATCTATAAATATCAAACGTTAAATATCCTAACAAAAAATACCTGACCCTTCACCCATTAGGCTGCAACATATTTTTCACAAAACTTTTCACCATAAGCTGACAATAACGATCGGAAACCGGTTTCTCGAATTTCAATACTTTAGAAACTATTTCTGTCTCAATACTCTGACCAAATTTATAGTCCTTGATGATGTTATAAACTGCTTTGAATGTTTGCTGCTTTTCGTTGTGAAATACGCCTCGGTTGCCATGGAGAACGTACACGCCATTGTGGATGGCAGAATTACAGTTGTTCTGGTATATGCAGTGATCTGGTCTGTAGTTCCATTCACACGGGTACACATACACCCGATCTGGAAAAAAATTGGTTAATGTCATGTCAAGTGTATTTTGTCAAGTCCTAGGACTGGATGAAGTTTGATCAAGTCCTGGGGATTGGATAAAGTTTTGATCAAGCCCTAGGAGGACTGGATGAAATCTGATCAAGTCCTAGGACTGGATGAAGTTTTGATCAAGTCCTAGGACTGGATGAAGTTTTGATCAAGTCCTAGGACTGGATGAAGTTTGATCAAGTCCTAGGACTGGATGAAGTTTGATCAAGTCCTAGGACTGGATGAAGTTTGATCAAGTCCTAGGACTGGATGAAGTTTTGATCAAGTCCTAGGACTGGATGAAGTTTTGATCAAGTTCTAGGACTGGATGAAGTTTTGATCAAGTCCTAGGACTGGATGAAGTTTTGATCAAGTCCTAGGACTGGATGAAGTTTCATCAAGTTCTAGGACTGGATGAAGTTTGATCAAGTTCTAGGACTGGATGAAGTTTTGATCAAGTCCTAGGACTGGATGAAGTTTGATCAAGTCCTAGGACTGGATGAAGTTTTGATCAAGTCCTAGGACTGAATGAAGTTTGATCAAGTCTTAGGACTGGATGAAGTTTGATCAAGTCCTAGGACTGGATGAAGTTTTGATCAAGTCCTAGGACTGAATGAAGTTTGATCAAGTCTTAGGACTGGATGAAGTTTGATCAAGTCCTAGGACTGGATGAAGTTTTGATCAAGTCCTAGGACTGGATGAGGTTTTGATCAAGTCCTAGGACTGGATGATGTTTGATCAAGTCCTAGGACTGGATGATGTTTGATCAAGTCCTAGGACTGGATGAAGTTTGATCAAGTCCTAGGACTGGATGAAGTTTTGATCAAGTCCTAGGACTGGATGAAGTTTGATCAAGTCTTAGGACTGGATGAAGTTTGATCAAGTCTTAGGACTGGATGAAGTTTGACCAAGTCCTAGGACTGGATGAAGTTTGATCAAGTCGTAGGACTTATGAAGTTTGATCAAGTCATTCAGTCCTGGGATAGGATGAAGTTTGATCATAGAAGCTGTCCGAAGGAATAAAGTCAGTTTAAATGTCATCCTACCTGGATGCTTGTTGAAGTAAATATTTAGCAAATCTTGATCACCCCATACTATATTAAACTTATACTCTCTGTAAATCTCAATAATCCTCTGCGTAAATTCAAGCTCTCTGAGTTTTTTCAAGTCCATTAACATGACACCAGAGTTGAGGCCCAATTCTCCATAAAACGGATGCCTCGCGAATCTGTGATACCAGTTCAGCGATGCAACCTCACCCTCGGTTGTCATTGCTGCAAGTTGCGTCTTGTTAAATTTACTAAAGTGATCCCAAAGTTTTTGTAATGGGCTGAGTACCAATGTATCTGTGTCCAAGTATAGCAGTTTGTCTCGTTTTATGAAGTCCTGAAATGCAAAAGAAAGCTTGTTGCTGAATTGACGATAAGTAAAGTTAGATTGATAGATTGCACACGTACTGTAAAAATGCACAAGTTGTTAGAGATCTGCAAAAACAAGTTGTAACAAGGTTGTTGTGAAGCCGATATCAGGATGTGTTCGCACTGCTTGTTCCCAGTTGTTGTGACAAGTCTGGAACAAGTTGTTATCACCTTGTTGCAAGGTTGATGACGATACCAGACTTGCTACAAGTTGTTCCAACAAGACTAATACAGGCTGTTCGTAACAAGTTGCTACGAGCTTGTTATCAACTTGTTAACAACTTGTTACGTGCAGACGATATCAGACTTGTTGGAACAACTTGTTGCGAGTCTGTTGACCTCATCAACCTTGCTACAAGATGATAACATCTTGTTCCAGACTTCTGAACAACTGGGAACTACAAATTGGCACTACACGCGTGGAAATCTTACATCTTGTAGCAAATCTGCCAACAAGTCGTCAACAAGTTGCGTTCGCACTGCTTGTCCCAAGTTGTCAACAAGTTTGGAACAAGCTGTTAACAACTTGTAACAACCTTGTTGATATTATCAGACTTGTTGCAAGTATTGTCACAACCTAGTGTCGTCAACCTTTTGACATTCGTGTTATATCATGACTGTATCAGACTTTTTAGAACAACCTTGTAACAAGTCTGATAATGCCATCAAGCTTGTTACAACAACTGGGAACAAGCAGTGCGAACACAACTTGTCGACAGCTTGTGAACAGATTTCTAACAACTTGTTTGCAGACCTGTAACAACTTGTGTATTTTTACTTACACACGTAAAAAAGTTGTTACAAGGTTGATGTCACAAGGTTGTAACAATACTGTTATATCATGACTGTATCGGACTTTTTGGAACAACCTTGCAACGAGTTTGATAGTATCTACAAGGTTGTTACAAGTTGTTCACAGCTTGTTCCAAACTTGTAATAGTTTTGCTTGTGATGTTACTCTGAGTGTATATCCACACCGGGCAAACTTGAAAAATATGCCTGACCACGGTGGGAATCGAACCTACGACCTTTGGAATGCTAGCCCAGAGTAACATCACCAGAGTAACATCACAAGCCCTAGTCGTAGGTTCGATTCCCACCGTGGTCAGGCATATTTTTCAAGCTTGCCCGGTGTGGATATACACTCAGAGTAACATCACAAGCATCTTATTCACCTGAGTACATTACACCAACACAGAAAATATCATTATTACTAGATTACATCGATATCGAAGGAACTAGATTCTGTTCCGAAATATCACATACTCGAACCGACCAGACCACGTAGCTCAGTTGGCAGAGCATTGGGCTAGTATTCCAAAGGTCGTAGGTTCGATTCCCACCGTGGTCAGGCATATTTTTCAAGCTTGCCCGGTGTGGATATACACTAAGAGTAACATCAGAAGCATCTTATTCACCTGAGTACATTGCACCAACACAGAAAATATCATTATAATAGTTTTGTTTGTGGGGACACCACGTGAAATTTATTACTGCAAAGCTTTCGATCCGTAAGCCTGGATCTTCATCAGTGCTAATAATATGTTCCAAACTTGTTGACAACTTGGAACAAGCAGTGCGAACACAACTTGTTGACGGCTTGTTGGCAGACTTGCTACAAGATGTGAAATTTTTACGCGTGTAGTTTAGTAAATAATTACCATTAAAAACAATCTCTGAGACGCACAAGTCTTGAACAATTTTTTCCATGTTTTCGTATCTTCGCCAGGAGGATAAGACAAATTATAAATAGTAAACTGAAAATGCTGCTTCACACTGGAAGGAAAATTCTCAAACGTTTTCTTAATTCCATCCTGCAGTTCGCGTTCTGCAACAATGTGGAAATGCACTTGATGATTTGTGAAGATCAGGATAGATTTGACCATGTTCATTGCTTCTTCGAGGCGATTCCCGCAAACGACTGCGGCAACGTCCATGGTTGGCTCTTTGGGATTGCATGTTGTTGATGATGATCTGAAACAGAAGTTGACAGTTTCACTTCAACCATAAATCGACGCTCAACTAACAACTCGCTTATCACGTACAACGCTATGCCACCAAAACAGCTATATGATACGTGTTTTGTAATAAAAATTTACTGCCATTTCCAAAACAAGACTCGCTCAAATATTGAAGACTAACGCCCGTATTCTAAAAGCTCACTCACACTCAATGAGTGGAGGTTCAATCTGAGCTTCTCTTTAGTGTGAATGCTGTCTTTGAATAGCTGGAGGGGTAGTTTCATACCTTACTCGTTGACTACTCATCCTCCAGCTATTCAAAAACAGCATTGACACTCAAGAGAAGTTCAGATTGAACCTCCACTCATTGAGTGTGAGTGTGAGAGAGCTTTTAGAATACAGGCGTAAAAGTAATGTCAACAGTCATATGTTAATACAACATGTAAATCAATATAAAAGTCACAATCTTGATCATTTTCCGATTTGTTAGAAGGCAAATGGTGTCTCCAAAGAAAGTACATGTGCAGACAACATGAAACTTTAGACTGCAGAAAATTGCACAAGCAGTTATCGAACTCATGTCACAGAAGTGGTAAAGGACATGTGTGACAACCGAATGGTATCCTTTTTGTCAAGTTTTTGGCCAGGGGTGTCAAAAATGTTTTAAACTTTTTAATGGTTGGATCAGCACTCCTCTTTGGTGCCAACCACCGCCACCTAATTATAAGAGCAATGGACAACTTGCATGTTAGACTAAATTTTAATCTAAGTAAAGAGATTAGGGAATCAAACACAACAGTTAAAAAGAACATAATGAAATTAGTAAAATTGCAAAATGTGGTTGCGAAATGTTGTAAAATACGGAAAATATAGCCTTGCGAAGTTTGCACATTTTCAGTATGTTTGTATTACGTGCGGAAATTGTTACCATTTTCGGCTCATATTTTTCAAACACTGAAAATATGCAAACTTCGCAAGGCTATATCAGTTTGTGTATTTTACAACATTTCATAACCAAATTTTGCAATTTTACTGATTTTAATAAGTTCTTCACGGGAATTTACTTTTTTTGCCTAAATAAAAAATTAGTCTAACATGCAAGTTGTCTAATTACGCATGCAATTTACCCTGCCCGGAGAAGCAAGACAAACTCTTATCGCCTGACAGACAAACACAGAACATACGGCAAATGCGGATATGAAAACTTAACGTCTTGGAGGAGGTAATGACAATTTATCGGATGCTTGGAGAGGTTAGAAGTAGGCGAATTGAGTGTAAAAAAGGACCTTATGCATGTCCCTTCCTTGGGGAAACCATGCTCACAGCTTGTCAACAAGATTTGAGGCCCGCCAAGGGGTTATGACCGACAGGCGACATTCTTTAAAAAGAGGCGACAGACTATCTAAAAAAGAGCGACAAACGACCGCTTCTGGACTGGGAAAAAGCGACAAATTGCGATTTGTATTATGGGTCAAAAGTGACAGCGACATTTATTACAATAAAACAAGCGACAAAGCAGCTACAAAATGAGTGACAAGCGACCTGGGTTACACCCTTGGTTGGGCCTCAGATGTGTTCGCACTGCTTGTTCCCAGTTGTTGACAAGTCTGCAACAAGTTGTTATCATCTTGTATCAAGGTTGATGAGGCCAACAGACTCGCAACAAGTTGTTCCAACAAGTCTGGTATCGTCTGCACGTAACAAGTTGATGACAACAAGCTCGTAGCAACTTGTTACGAACAGTCTGTGTTAGTTCTGTTGGAACAACTTGTAGCAAGTTTGTAGCAACAAGTTTGTTACCGTCATCAACCTTGTAACAAGGTGATAACAACTTGTTCCAGACTTGTCACAACAACTGGGAACAAGCAGTGCGAACACATCCTGATATTTAACCAGCACTTCGTGGTTTACCACGCTTGCTCAAGCTGGGAGACCCGGGTTAAATCCTTGGTCGGACCTCACCTCTACTCAAGATCTTAAAATACTTGAGGAGAAAGTGCTACCTTTACATTGACATCAGTAAATGGTTAGACTTTCGCGTCTTCTCGGATAAGGACGTTAAATCGTAGGTACCTCGGATACCCTATATCAATTGGGCATAATAGTCTGTTGGGAAATCCGCTCACCAATGAGCGAGAAAATCAAAATCACTTTGCAAATAAATTCCCTACAAGCAAAACACATAAGAACGGAAATGTCCGCTGCTTTGCTTCGCCCTCTATCAGTTTAAACTCCGAACGGAAATCCCCTTCTTATCTTATTTAACCTTCAGAAACTATTTTCCTGTCTGAGAAGTTGAGAACAAATAGTTTTTATTCCAAAAAGAACTGAAATATTTACATTGCTGTTCGCGTGGTAATGTTGCCGTCTTTAATATTTAGCCGAGTTGTCACATAACTTACACGGACGAGCGTATTTTCCCCTGATAAATTTAGAAAAACTGAAAAATCGTTCTGCCATGCAAACCAGCTTTATTTAAATATACGGATATGTACAGACATGCATAGAATATGTCTACAAATACAATAGGTGATTGAACTAATTTGAACAGAAATTGTCAGCATTAGCGCAGGCATTTCCGACAGTGACATTGGCTAACAATTACTTTGTCTCCGCGAGATAGCAGTTTAATTATCAGTCGATACAAGTCATACAACACGCCATGTTTAACCATAACTCACTGCAAAACCGAAACATTGATATATACGCTACTGTGCTTTGTATTTATATTGTATATCTGATTGAACTACCTGCAAGACGAAGAGTATTAGAAAACCTACTGGCGCTAAATTCATATGTATTCATTGCGCAGTTCGGTTTTTACTATGTCTATTCCTATAGAGAAAGCTTGCAGTGTAATTAAAATATTCAGTTCAGGGAATCACAACACACAAGTACTATATTATTCTCGATCTCATAACAAGCGAAGCGTAACATATTCCCATTAGTAGCTCTCAAATGCTTCTCAATACTAAGAACGCAACGCTTCCTCCCACGCTTATTATAACTTCTCTTTATCACCTCTGTTATAAACTGACGGAAACAGGCAAAGCGCTACAAAACTGCGACAAAATGCTACAAAATAGGACCGTACGGTACAGCCTGAAAAACCAAAAGGCAAAACGGTATACAATCTCATATTTCAATACCGAAGGCAAAGCGTGATAGCCTATTCTAATGTTTAATAATAGCGTATAGTATAATTGTTTAAAAAGTAAATAACTGACTGAAGTAATTTAATAGACGTAGTGGAATAAGTTTCAAATATTACAGCGCTACAGTCAATATGTAACAATCTTTTATAACCCCAGAATGCGAAAACGCATACAGTATAATCTCATGTTACACTGTAGCGAATGGTGTTCTAAACATAGCCTACAAAATAATTGTATTAAACCAAAACCGATGACAGATTGGCAAAATGAAACCCGGTCCATAGTAGCACCTGTGTGGCGAATGATCGAATTATACATCTATGAATCCACTTTAAGAATAAGACACTACAGAATTACTTGGGATTTAGTATTATTGAATGTCTACTTACGTTGATTTAGCGGTTTCCTTGAGCGTTCTCGATCCATGCGGGTTGCCAATTGATATTTGTGTCCGTTCAAGTGCGTTTTGTTTGCTTGAGTATGTAGTAAACTTTGTGTGTCTATCATTCTGAGTTAGACTGAACGTTATGAACATGAAGACGAGTAGAAACACGCAGAATAATGCCAGAATTCGCTTATTGAAACGCCAGACGTACATACTGTAAAACCATTATCGAAACCAACAGACGTGAAATGCATTCAGAAGATAGACTCCGGCGTTTGTTTACATTCTAGCTGGTGGTAATATGAGTACCCACGCTGAGCTGTGTGCAGTGACCGTGGCCGATATTGGGTGTGGCTCAATTAGCAACGTCCAGGGGCCTATTATTAGTAGCATTTAGCGAAAAGTGGCTTTCTGAAAAGCGCTTATAAAATAGGAGTAGCACGGCTATTTACAATGTCAATAAAAGCTAACAAGGCGATATGAAAATTTGGTTCTATCAGCCATTGCTCTATCAATCGTAATTAAATTGATAATTGTATTTAAACCGACAATAGTTAACTATTATTTTGTGTTTCTCAACCGCCAGATACCTTAACCGCCAGATGCTAACTGTAATTCAGTTCTACATAATAAAGATCAACCTACATATTCCTCTGCAATCGATGCTCTCGGTAAGCTTAAATGGAAATCCTTAAAACGTAGAAGAGCCGAGCATCGAGCCATATTTGCGTATAAGGCCATCAATAATATGTTATTGCACCAACTTAGTTTTCAACTTATTTGTGATTTCCATAGATATAACACCAGATCTAAGAATAACATCAGGAAAACCAAGGCTTCGAGGAGGTGGGGTCACTGGACAACGGTAAATTTTGTTTCTGAAGTCTGGAATCGTTTGGATGATGATTTAAAAGGCTCCACCTCGATAACCTCATTTGAGGGTGGGAAAGGGTATTTTCGTGAGCCGTGAATAGTCAATATTTGTTCGCGTGAAATGTGAAATGCTTGATTTTAGTGTCGTGAAATGTGATTTGTTCTACAGCCGTGAGGCGTGATTGTCGATAAAAATGCTCCGTGAAATGAGAATTAAGGATGTCTGTTTCGTGAACTGAGATTTTGCTATGTTTATTTCGATCTATTTCATAATAGACATGATACGCGATAATCAATTTATATGATCGATCTCACTTGATTGCACAAGAGTAAAAACTTCGGAGGCCTTTCGGAGGTCGTCGGACATACTCGTCACTCAAACTTCTAAGTTATGATGTAGTTTTTAACTGACATGCAGGTTGAGAAGTGAGAGAACTTAAAGCGTAGATACTGTATCATGCATTAAACATATACTCTAAATAAACCTATTATTATATTATTTTATTAGAATCTAGTTTTCCGTGAAATTATTTTTTTAAGACACGTGAATCGTGAAACGGCTTTTTTTTTTCGTTGTGAAACGTGATCCATACCCCCCCCTTTCCCACCATCTCATTTAAGAACCGCCTCGAAAAAACTGAATTGTAATGACTTGTTTGTTCTGTCTAGTTATTTTCATTTGTAATTTAATTATTTTTAGTATATGTTTACTTGTCCGAGGACCCCTCTGTAAACCATTACTTGTGAGGTTGGTATCCTCATTAAAAATTATGTTCATGTTCATCAAACTGCAACTCAAAGCTAAAACATGAGGAACGCCAAAAAGATTTTAGGTTTTGAACACTTTTCATCGCAAATACACAACGTACAGTGACGTGACAAACTGTAAACTTCGAGACATTTCACTTAGTGGTCTTTGGAGTTTACTGGTACCAAAACCTCGCACTAACAACATGAAAAATAGTTTCACTTTCATGACGGTATAATTTATAACGATGCTCACTTATCGACTCTATTCCAAACGAAATTAGGGAGAGCAAGTATCTGTTGTGTTTTAATAAGAACATTATTGTTTGTTATAAGAGATAAACAGCATGAAAATAAATAGATTGACTACTTATAGATTATGTTACTTTTTTCAGTGAGTTGATCAGTGTATCTCATATTTTGTTAATAGCTTTATATAATATGCTCTTGTACCTCCTTTTTACCACACTTTTTTTCTTTTACGTGCTAGTTAAAACACGACTGAGCAGCAGCGTTTTATCAGATATAAAGATACGGATGCGAAGCCGGGTATCTTTAGGTCTCAGTGATAAATTTTAAATTGCTTCAAAAACGATCGATCTAGTAAGTTCATTGGCGAAGTAATCATCAAAAAATACGTTGTGTAAGTCGAGAAAATCAAACTAAAGTTTTATCACATGTGAAGATACGACACGCTTTAACGCTTATGATTTTTCTTTGTGTTTTCCTCATTGGGTAAATAAATACTCGAACCGACCTGACCGCGTAGCTCAGTTGGCAGAGCATTGGACTAGTATCCCAAAGGTCGTAGGTTCGATTCCCACCGTGGCCGGGCATATTTTTCAAGCTCGCCCGGTGTGGGTACACACTCAGAGCAACATCACAAACATAGTTATACTGTCTATGTATCTATCTTGTTAATCTAGGGCTTGAAATTTGTGACTGTCAGAGTCTCATAACTATCATCCTCGTAGACTTAAGAATTGCCTCGAGATTTGTTTGAAACTTGTGTCAGTGCTCGATAATAGTCGATACAAACGAAAGTTTCCATGAGAGTTTTCTCAACTCAATTTGTGAGTGACGGATTGGCCACCATGCTGCGCTATGTGCAGGAACCAGAACTGATATTGGGCGTGGCTCATTAAAGCAACATCCAGGGCCCAATTAGTGGCAATAGTAAACGTTTTATATAAAGCACATAATAGGTTATTTATATTCTGTGCTTTATGTTTGAAAACTGAGTGTTTATGAATAGAGGGATATCAAGGCTATTTAAGTTCTCAGTTGACGAGGTTTGAGTAACATCGTCTGCAAACTCTTGCTAATCAGGAGCTTTGGCTGGTTTAGTATGAAGTTCACTGCCAGCTACTTTCATTAATTTAAAATATACATTGCATCCATCTCGCTTTTAGTCAATGGCGAAAGGGCACTTTTCATTGCACAAAAGGACACTTTTAGTCCTTAGAAAAAATAGGGGAGTACGTCTCCCTGGTTCCTACACCCCTGGACATGACTTTGAAAGACACTGTCACACATTTTGATCAAAATTTGATCACAGAAACTTCCATGGTGTAATCTCTGATATATCCATGAACTCCTATCAATGCAACTCTTGTGCTTGTTTAACTGACCAGAACAAGCCCATATTCTCACTCACGGGAATTTCAATTTTTGTCAAATCCTCATAGAAAACACATGCATGCACTAAATAAATATACATGTACTTACAATCCTGGCTATCAATCACATAGCTACGACAAAAATGACTTTCACCTTATCATCAAACATAATCAAAATTACTTCGAAAACTCTTACTTTATTAGATCAGCAATACTTTGAAACAGTCTACCCGCCGAGATAAAAACAAGTTGTACTTTATCTTCGTTTAAAAAAAAACGCTTAATTAACTCGATAACATACAAACTTCCTATCCGTAGCTAATATTAATGTGTAGAAAATGTTTGTTGTTTGTAAATATATAGTGATGTAAAGTTATAGGAATTTTCATGGACTTTCTTGGAGTATGAGCAACCGATATATTTTTCAGTTAGAACCAAATAGGATTAAATTTACGATCCCCCAGCGGCCAACCATGCATTGTTTACCAATTGCAAGGTGGCAAAATAGATTAAGATTCAAAACAAATAAAGAAAAATTTTAATTACACAAACTTTCTTATTACAAGTTATGAATTGTTCCATGACTTCACCAAAAGCTTTCTGTTCTAGTAATATGGCTGGCCATTCCATTTAATATCCCTCCTCCCCCTTGCGGATGAGGTGAGAAATATCTTCAGGCCCTTAAAAATTTCTTTCGTTCTACCCTTCAGAAATTTCGGAAATTTACCCTTTATTAAACAGTATAATTCTTAAAGAACTAATCTTAATTAAACAACCCTTAAAATTTAAACTTTCTTGAAAATCCTGCAGAAAAAAGTCAAAACTCAGCGGATAGGGGGGGGGGTGCAAATATTAAATGGATGTCTCTGTATTCGTCAGTGTTACCACTAATGTCAGAGTTTATGGATAAACACAAACAGCAGGGTATACTCTAGCTTGATTCATTGCTGGCAATTCGTGCCATTTACTTTCACCAATCACAAAATATTCTGCTGTTTTAAGACTTATGGTTTGTCCTTCGGCATCTTTCGATTCACCCCCCATAACCACGACCACATCGCCCATGATCACAGCTGCACAGCCACTTCTCTTTTGTAGCATGGATGGTAAACGCTTGCATTCCAGATTGCAAATGTTGAACATCACCACATCATTTAATGGATGGAAGCTTTTACCACCTACTCCACCTAGGATGATTATGTTATCTTTATACGTGACAGTGGCCATGTTTGACACTCTATATGGCAAAGAAGTGAGGGTTCTTAGCTGTTTGTTGGCTGTGTCATATCTTTCAACTCGATCTCTACTATACCCGATAACAAAGATGTCGCTGCCAATACGTTCGAGAGCACACGAACCGCGGTTGCAATATATGTCTCCTTTAATCAATACAGTTGACGTCCATGGGCGTTGTAATGAAGTTTCGTGTACATCACGGCCAAAAGTGATGATTCGATTTTCAACCAGAAGACCATTAAGATTGGTAGATGGTAAGCTTCCGGGAAGAGCAGTTGAAGTAAAACCATTCTCGCTTGGTTCGAGGAACTCAATTCGCTTTGATTTGTCACCACCACAAACCATTATTCTCTTGCCGTAAAGGAATGAAAATGATCTAACGCTTGAGAAAAACAGAACGTTTTCCATCAGAGTCCAAGTCTTTGTTGACCAGTCAAAAACCTCGATAGATTTCGAAGTATCCACACCACCAATAATAAAAATTTGTCTGCCGTTCACGCCAAGCAAACACAGTTTCCTCATTTGGCATACAACACTGGTGACAATTCGTGATGCAGGACGCAGCGTCTCGAGCGTCAATTGGTCCGTACAAAGTGGGCATGTTTGAGAATTTCTTAGACGCTTTGTTATACATTCCCTACAGAAGTAATGCTCGTTGTTTTGGCATTGAACTGGGTCATTCAAAATCTCCAAACATATTTTACAGGAGAAATTTTCATTGAGTATAGTGTCGAGATTGGTGTCTCTAGCTGTATTAGCATAGCCTAGAAACGAATATATTTGGCCCATGATATTTCATATATACTGCGAAGAAACCATTAGTAGTTGGCCAGACTCGGCAAACAGTCACGGAATATGGTCGGCTACTGAAACTTAGAATTTTGGTATATAGAAATTATCATGAATCATTGGACATTGGTTGACTCGTTATTGTCTTTCATGACCTTGTGACTTCTAAGTGCCAGATGCATCGATTTCATTGGTGGAATAAATGTTTATTAAGTTCGTATCTGCAGCTAGATGATATTCAGGTACGCAAGAAATGCATTCTGATTAACATGACAATGAGTCAATAAATAAAGAAAATTCCAATTTAGATCCCACTTGACTCGTGCGAGTCGACTCGAGTCGCAATTTTCTGCTACTCGAGTCGAATACGAAAAATGACTCCATTCGAGTCGACAGCCCCAAATGACTCGAGTCAACTGAGCTACAACTTGTTCAGGATACATTCGTAAAAAATATTGTAGTTGATTAGGTTGACAAGAATCCTGAAGGTGCTTGTAGAAATAAAAAGTAATTCTCGATGCATATTGGCATGTCTCTATATGTAGGGAAATTGTTTAAGGCATTTTTGTTCACCATATAATAGACCTTGTGCATAATGACGTCACAAGGCTTGATGCCCGCGAGGAATGCTGGTCTTAGTAGTCATTGCCAGGGAAAATTTCGATAGTCGCCATTTTGAATTGTTTAATTTTCCCGGGCTGTTGACTAGTAAGACCAGCATTCGTCGCGGGCATCAAGCCTTGTGACGTCATTAGGCACGAGATTATTCTCGACTCGAGTTTAGCCATTGACTCGACCAGATAGTGAAATGACTCGATTCGTGACTTGACGTGTCGGTGGCTCGTTACAACACTGCTCCAAAGTACGGTCAAACATTGCGAAAGTAGTCAGTTCGCCCTATTCAAACTATTATTTCAGTACAGTAAATTGCAGTATATTATAGTAGAGTTTTACAACTGAATGACTACAAGTACAATTGATAAATGATGCCTGTACGAAAACTAAGTCTCATAATTAAAGATAAAACGAAGTTTAAGCTTCACGTTTCGTTAGCCTAACGTTTCGTAAGCCTAACGTTTTCGTTTCATATTTTCTTTCTTGTGTCGAAAGAATAATTATGCATTTCAGTTTTAAAACAGCAAGTTCATTTACTCTTTATTGCCTGATACCGTAAAATTCTTCTTTGCCTGGCGTTTGCCGTTTGACGTATAACGCGAAGCTTAAACTCTCTAATGTAAGAAAATCTTCCAACAATCAACTACATACGTAAAAACGCACAAGTTGTAACAAACCTGCAGCAGACTTGTAGCAATGCTGTTCCATGCAACAACTTGTGAACAGGATGTGTTCGCACTGCTTGTTCCCAGCTTGTTGACAAGTTGTCAACGCTTGTTAAAAATTTGCTACAAGGTTGTTGAGTCCAACAACTTGTTATCGTCCTGCAATTCAACAATTTGTTGGCAACACGTCGTGAGTGACAACCTTGTGGCAACTTGATAACTTAAATAACAGCATTGTTACAACTTGTTGACAAGCTTGCTACAAGCCTGTTGCGAACACATCTTGTTGACAAGTTGTGAGATTTTTACGTCGGTATACATACGTAAAAACGCACAGGTTGTTACAGCTAGTCTGCAAACAAGTTGTTACAAGCCTGTTCACAAGCTGTCAACAAGTTGTGTTCACACCGCTGCCTTTGTTCCCAGTTGTTGTAACTTGTTTGGAACAAGCTGTTAACAATTTGTAACATATACTGATGACTATTATCAGACTTGTTGCAAGGTTGTTTTAACAAGTCTGATACAGACATACAGTCATTATATAACAAGAATATAACAAGCTAGGTTGATGGCACAAGGTTGTAACAGTATTGTTATTCATGTCTGTATCGGACTTGTTAGAACAACCTTGCATGCATGAACAAGTCTGATAATGCCATCAAGCTTCTTACAAGTTGTCAACAGCTTGTTCCATACTTATTGACAAATTGGGATAAGCAATGCAAACAAAATTTGTCGATGGCTCGTTGGCAGACTTCCTTACAAGATCTGAATTTTTTGAATTTTTGAATTTTGAATTTTTTGAATTTTGAATTTTTTGAATTATTTTTTTTTGAATTTTTTGTTTTTCTACTGGGACATTCATGATATAAAAAGAATGTTGCAAGGTTGATAAGAGTCAAGACTGGGGCCCCTGATATATTTCACTTTCAAGTATATAGCAGGAAAGAACAATTACTTCATAGTTAAACTTATTCAGTGAATATCTAATGATTCAATTTATACTGATCGAGTGTGACAGTTTTCAATTCTTCTCATCAGTATAAATCAATATTCTGACTGTAAAAACTCATCGAGTATAATCGCCTGTATAAATAAGCGCCTATTTTGGCTTGTATAATAAAAGTTACAAAAAGCTTGGAACCCGAGTATACTTTGAACTTGCATGTTCTAGCAAATTCGTGGCACTTCGGCTTAGAGATCTAGTATAGTTTATTTCTTATGGCAACACTGCAAACCGCTGTTTATAAATTTGTGTAAATATCCATGCCAACCAACTACGCATGGTTTTCTTCGGAACGAATTCATTGGCCAAATAAACATACAACAAACAGGTGGCGAAGAGCGAATAAGTACTTTCCCGGGGGGTGCAACAGCGAGTGCTCGGTTAAGTTACAATGACGTATGGGAAATTCATTTCCAGCCAGTGAACTAAATATAACTGGAACGCTACCTCCGACTGGAAATTTGAAGTCAAACTTGAAAGCCGTCCCAGTCTTTTCACGCATGCGAAGAGCACGGTCAATCCTTCAACACGAATATATATTCTTGAAAACCGGCTTTAAAATTTTTAACAGCGCTCAAAGCTTTGTATTAATGCATTTATTCAGGTAAAATTTCCCAGTAGACTTTGGTTTTATTTTGTTTCTCATTGAAACGGCTTGCTCTCTCTCTGAAATGGTCTCGCGAGAGAATAATCGCGAGGCATAAACACGCGGGCCAGAAAACGATAGGCAGTTATATTCGTTTCATTGTTTCCAGCGGAAAATTTGAAAAAATAAAATGAATGAATCAGAAAAATTTAAGTGTAAAACTGTCGTTAATAAGCGGGGAAAAGATGCCAGGCTGCAGCTTTAATTTAAATCGTTTTTGGTCTTTTTGGTTCTCCAAAGACTTGTTAATGCTTGCGTAAAATCGCACAGCTTCTGAACAAGATGTGTTCATATTGCTTGTTCCAAGTTGTTCTCAAGTCTGGAACAAGTTGTTATCATCTTGTAACAAGGTTGACGAGGCCAACACACTCGCAGCAAGTTAAAATTGTTCCAACAAGTCTGACAGCATCTGTAAGTAACAAGTTGTTATGAACAAGTTGATGAGAACAAGCTCGCAGCAACTTGTTACGAACAGCCTGTATTACTCTTGTTGGAACAACTTGTAAGCAAGTCTGTTACCCTCATCAACCTTGTTCCAGACTTGTTACAACAACTGGGAACAAGCAGTGTACGTGAGCACAACTTGACATCGGCTTGACTGACAACGTTGTTACAACTCCCAAGACTGTATATTTGTGTTATCCTATACAGGGTGTCTCAAAAAAACCCAAAATCATTGAAATTGACGTATTGTTCGATATTCAATGCCCTAGCACTAAGTTAATCCCACGAGTGCATAAAAGATTGACATAACTGCTATAATGAATGGTAATACTCAGCGTAAACTTGTTATGTCAGGCATAAAGTAATAAACCCACGAATTTACGAAGCATTTTTAAATTCCCATGAGCAAACAAACGTTCACTTTACAAAGATATTTTAATTTTTTAAAACAAATTAATCACCCTGTCAAAATCCTTTGTGTTACAGGCATTGAAATTCGAACAATACGTTATTTCAATGATTTTGGGTTTTTTTGAGACACCCTGTATATATAAACTTTTCGTTGACAAGTTTTATTTGCTCGTTTGTACGGCAAGAAATTGGCAATTCTTCCTTCGTGTGTACGGCTGCCAAGGAAACTTGACAAGTCTACAAGGATACTTGTTCTTGGTTCTGGCAAACAATAATTGGAAAGCACGTCAAGGTAAACTTGTCCGTTCCCAGTTTTATATCAGTAAAAATCAGGCTTTTGGCTGTCGATTGCTACCTTTCTTCTATCAATATCATTGCGATCTAAAACAGCCAAACACGATCTAGTTTGTCTGAGTATTGAAATTATTCTCATTTGGGATTCAAATTTAAGTCGCTTGATGGTGTCATTGGACAGCTAGAAGCCTGATCTTTATAAATACGACAACAGAAAACCTACAAACGTAGTACAGTATACTGTACCTGTACTACAGTATACAGTATATCACATTGGCATTAATTATTTATCCTCATGTAATGCATAACAATACTGCAAACCCCCCCCCCCGGGTGTAATTATCCCCAAAATTCTTCAAAGTTAAATGCGTCAAAATTAATTCAAATTTTTCTCAATTACTTTTGTGCAGCTATTCAAGCGAAAGACTCGCACGGGACTCAAGTCAATTATACTAAAGAAGACGGCTTGAAATGCCAGACAAAAGCGAAATGACGGACTCAGAAAACGAAGCGGAAATAAAAGCGAATTCCGACGAGGAAGAAGATTTAGTCAATCAAGAGTTGGAAAACTTAAAGAATGACGACAGTCCTTCACCTTCGCCACAAGCACAGGTTAGCAAACAAACGCAATTCCGAACTCATCCTATACATACAAACAGCAATTCCGATATAAACACGATATAAACACAACACAACTTTCGCTTAACACTCAGTCGCATGCAACATGCTTACAACTCGAGTTGTAATGGGTAAATCAAGCACACAACCAACGAGGTTGGCATGACACAACTCGCCTACGTCGGGCTACGACATACGATGTCGTTGGCAAGTTGTGTGCTTAATTTATACCGGCACAATTCGAGTTGTATGGGACAGTTTTAAGTTCCATACACTCAGACCGAACGCGATTCGACAACGCGACGCGAATTTTCAGTTTTCAAAAGCAAATAAAACCGTCAACGGATAAAAAATTTACAAGATATGCAGACCAAATAGCTAAAATTGCTTAAGTGGTTCCGAATATTTGAAAAACATAGAAAAATATTAAAGTTAAATGTCGTTGAAAAATGAAAATTCGCGTCGCGTTGCGGCAAATCGCGATCCAGTCTGTATGGACCTTTAGGCAAACTTTTCTGGTGTAAATCGACTTGTGTCATTGTCGGAGTCCTTGACAAGTTCATGCATGGCTTTTTCGAGGGATTTTTTGACAAGTTTTATCTAATAACTAAATAAGTTCTGTTTATTGCCAATTCCTTTTTTCTGACAGCTTTGTACGTTTGCTTGAATTCCGTTTTAGAATATATTATCATTATTATGTTAGTTGTATATAAAGTTTACTCGTTCTAACGAGCGGCACTGAACAGCCAACAGCGGTGCGGGCGAAATTTTTTACCGATGAAGAGGCACTTGAATCGGAAGTGTTGAATCGTGAATGACCGCGGCATATACAATTCGAACGGGTTTTGTATTCATTTCATGGCGACTTAAACCAGAATAGTCGCGAGCGAAAACACATGACTGGGCAAGTAAATTTTGCTTTTTCGTGACTATACTACGAGATGTTTTCACAAAACAAAGCAATTAAGCCTCTCTTAGAAACTAAAAATATTTTTATTAAAATACGTACTGAAACAGAAAACTGATTTCAAAATGTTTGGAGTTGCACCAAAACAAGTATTTTCACATCTTTGGAACAACGTCAATGCGAGTTGGCGAGGAGTTAAAAACGACATAAAATCTGTCGTTCAGCAGAAGATAACGAATCGTTTTCCCCGAACTTAGACTTAGCCGTTTGTAAGGTTATTTTAAATCCAGTTCCACTAAATCAAGTTCCTTAGCTCCCAATCTTGAGCAGAAATTGAGACCGCGTAATCGAATCCGGGTCGAACTAATCCAGGCCAGGGTGTATAAAAATGAATGCATATAGCACTATATACAGGATGCGTAAAACAGAATACAAGTGAATAGGCTATTATGCATGACGAAGTTATTTAAAACTTCAATTTGATTTCGTCCAACATATGAATCATATGTACTATATATAGTCTACTATAGGTAAATGAGATAAATTCGATGTGTTCACAATTTAAACAAATCAATTATATTTCTATTTCGACATCAAAACTAATCTAATGAACTTGCTAAGCACCTATTAAAGGCCACAAAATTAAAGATGACCGAATGTTTGTAATAAACAAACAAATATTCTGGTATATGTCTACAAAGAATCAGAGGTCATCCTAACGAAAATTTAGAGCTGCCAATTTCGACAACAAGAACAGTTTGTGAGTCGGTGACGCGAACAGCCCATCGGGGATCCAACACCATAAATAAACGCCTCCGTGAAAAAGATGTCAACGATATGTCGTTAAATTTTAATACTCAAAGACAAAGTCATTTGAATGAAAATGGAGTTTAATTTGACGCAGCTGGTAGAACATTAAAAACTCTTTTAAGTTGTTTTGTTTTTCCGAAGTTTGTGCTATATAAATAACAAACTTAATAGTTAATGGCTACCCCCAATTTGGCCCAATGCTCTGTCAACTGAGCTACGCGGTCAGGTCGGTTCGAGTATGTGATATTTTGGAACTGAGTCTTGTTCCTTCGATATCAATGCAATCTAGTAATCATGATTTTTCTGTGTTGGTGTTGTGTACTCAGGTGAATGTGATGTTTGTGATTTTACTCTGAGTGTATATCCACACCGGTGTCCCAGCAGATTTGGACCCCCTCAAAATGGACTCCCCGGTCCAAATCCGCTAGCGAATATGGACCTATGGGGGTCTTTATTCGCTAGCTAGCGGATTTGGACTCCCCTCGCGATTTTGGACCCCTCGCGTATTTTGTCATTGCAACTTATCGTATTTTGAATATTGTACTGAAAGCGTTTTAAATCGTCATAAATCTCATCTGATTTATTTTAAAAACCGTACGAAGATTTTTAGATCAAATTATTTTTGCCCTAAACTTTTATAAAATTAGCATCTCAATACTTGTTTCGTCATTAAGCAAATTCCCGATAGTTGAGTCATGCCATTAGTTATCATAATTTAAATTAAACTGACGCCTAAATTTCCATGCACATTCAACTGCAAATCGTTTCAAAACTTCTTCTTTTTGTGAATTTTAGGGGTCCAATTCCGCGGAAGGGGGTACATATCAGCTAGCGGATATGTACCGTAGGGGTTCGAATCCGCTAGCTGATATGGACTGGAGGGTCCATATCCGCGGGGAGTCCAAATCCGCTGTGACACCGGGCGGGCTTGAAAAATATGCCTGGATTTTTCGTGGATATACACTCAGTCTCAGAGTAACATCACAAACATATTCACCTGAGTACACAACACCAACACAGAAAAAACTTAATCTACGCTGTTGAGTTTTGGAGCTTTATATGAAAAGCAGTTATAAATAGTATGCTCCTGCATGTACAGATATTTGAGAGCTTATAAGCAGTTCGCGTTCAACGACAAACGTCAGGCAAAGAAAAAAATTATGCTATAATTTATACTAAGCAATATGAAAAAGTAAATAGGCTTATTGTTTTATATAAAGTAGAATGCTTAACTATTCCTGTGTCATATAAAAGCAAATCCTGACGCAAGGGACCTTACGATTTAGGACGGCAACGCGACGGCAACGGCTACCAATACAATAAACCATCGAAAAGAATTGAATAATTACAGTGTATGAATAATTTTGACATTATCACGTCTTGATACAACGGCTGCATTTCAAGCCGCAACAAGTGCAACTTCAAACTGGGTTCAGCAGAACTCTTCCCAAACATAAAACCCATCTCTTCAACTTCTAAGACTGTATTAAATTCATACGATTGATAATATACCACGAATTATCTTTACTACCATTTATTTGAAGGAGTTTGTTTTGGCCGTTGTCGTCGCGCGTTGCCGTCCTAAAATCGTAAGGTCTCTATATGGCGCACAGTGACGCACTGACGTGTCCAGGATTTCTAGCATAGCTAGACATAAAATTTTCATTACAAGAAAAATGAAAATATAATGCACATGCTTGTGTTGGTCAGAATTTTTCCAAGGCGCGATAGAAAAGAGCTAATAGTGTTTTAAAAAACGGACTATATCAAATTCCAATTTTTCATGCTAATTTCTGTATCTACACGCGTGAAAACGCACAAGTTGTAACAAACCTGCGGCAGACTTGTAGCAATGCTCATGTTCCAACAACTTGTCATCAGCTAGGATGTGTTCGCACTGCTTGTTCCCAGCTAGTAGACAACTTGCTACAAGGTTGTTGAGCTCAAAAGACCTATTACGAGTTGTTCCAACAACTTGTTATCGTCCTGCAATTCGTCAAGCTGTCGACAAGTTGTGAGTGACATTGTTACAAGGTGTTGACAATCTTGACAATCTTGCTACAAGCCTGTTGGCAGGGACGCCAAAGTGAAGGCAAAGGGGGCAGATTTTCGTGAAAGGGCACTTTTGAATTGATATATATACTAAGAGATGTTTGCCAAACATCGGGAGTTGAACTTTTCCTGATCATGTTTTCTATTTATTGGATGATAGAGGTGTGAGGGGGTTCTCCGCCAGGCGATTGCGCTCTTCTTGAAGCTCGATGACTGCATTTCTTGCGTTTTCTGAAGCAAATTCGTAAAAGAATCGCACTAACATTTCTGACAATTCGCTATTTCGCCAAGAATTGAATTAATTTTCATCCAATCAATATATTTCACATGCAGGTATCCAGTATTATCATGTGAGCAAAATACAGCAATTTGGTTAGCTAATTTACTCATGAATTATTAATGAGTTTATTTTAGGGGGGGGTAGCTCAAGCCCCCGCCGTTTATGACGTTTCTTCGCGGTTGGCGTTTCCCTCCCTCATGGAAGCATTGCCGTCAGATCTGACATGTCTTAATAATTCATTTATTCCAAAAGTAATATAATTTTAAAAACCTATAGCAATTCACTTATGACATGACATTATATCATTTAATTGACCAATCAGGAACCGGTGTACGCCACTGCCCCTACATGTTAACTGCATTTATTATGGCAACCAGTCTAAATGCAGGTGCTTCCGTGTGTATTGTTCTGAGTAAGAAATATCATTAAAGCTTAAAGCAGCTGTTTAAATATAACTTGCTTGCTGAGCGAATGACATGAAATTCCCCCATGAAATTTCACGTTAAATGTTGCATTTAATCACTAAAAGAACCCCGTAATATTACTTCCAAAAAAATTTAAAATCGAGTTGGGGTGAAGTGCCTTAATGAACCGTAATCTCACATCAAAATGCACTGTTTAAAATTGTCAAAAAATTCGTTTAATTATATACCATGTCTAGCTGATATTAATAATTCAATATAATTGATATCTCAAAATATTCTTGTTCGCTTGACACGTTGCCTAGTATCGGCCAGAAATTTAACTAACAACATTAAAAAGGCACTCGAGTTTGCCGCCTATCTGTTGTCTGACGAGCATACTGTCCTCTTAAAACAGTCATTAACAGCAAAGTCATATTTATTTTGTCGTTCTACGCTTTTCTAGCAAAACATGACGGGCAGCCAAAGAAGCATACAGAGCTCAAAGTCTAAAGGGTCTCGAAATAGCGTCGTCGGCGATAGCTTGGCGAGCGTTCGAAGCCAGTCGGTCGGCAGCCCTATGCCTCAGTTCTTGAAAGAGCGTCTTAAAGTCTTATTTGTGTACCCGTTGGAAAAGAAATACGAATGTCCATCGTGTGACGAAGTTCTCCGCTATCCGGTACTGTTTGAAGAATGTGGACATCGGGTCTGCTCGCATTGTTTTGAGACTGAGATAAAAAGGTGAGTGCATAATAACAGCAGTAAGTCCGTCGGACACCCTTTGTGACACATTAAAGTTAGGTTATTAAAGTTAGCCGTAAAAAATAGTGTTGAAGTGTTCTATGTATAAGCTGGTTTGTGTTTGAATGACTTGGAAAGGATTAAAAACATAACAATTTGTGACGCCGAGATCAGATTAGCTCGTCGTGAGAAAGTTGTATAGTCGCTTGCTATATAAACGGCTCGAAACACCGGATCTTCTTGAGGTACGGTAGTTCAGGCACAAACCACGATAGCTTGCGTATAACTACGTTAAAGCTAAGTTTGTCTAAATTTATGGGACGTCAGTGTTATTTTCAGGAAACTCTTGTGAATGGCATCTCGTTTTAGTATTTGAACTTGTGTAGTTTAAATTTGTATTTGTGTTTAAGCTGTGACGAATTTTATTGAACTAAAAACAATTACATTCATAGGCCAGCGTTTCAATTGTATTAAAAGTACGCCATAGTAGTATATACGACTCCATTTGTCACACCTTTGGCAGTTTGGCTTATATATAGTTAGATCATACAATTAAGTATCAAGCATGAAATTAAGCCCCAAAAGCTTCACATACGAGCAAATTTTCTTTGACAAGTTTCATTTGCTCGTGTGTACAGCAAAACATTGACAATCTTTCCTTGCCAATGTGCCTTGTATTATAGTAGTATATACGACTCCATTTGTTACATCGTTGGCTTATATAGTTACATCATACAATTAAGTGTCAAGCATGAAATTAAGCCCCGGAAACTGCACAGACGAGCGAATTTTCTTTGAAAGTTTCATTTGCTCGTTTGTACAGCAAAACATTGACAATCTTTCAGTGCCAATGTGCCTTGTTTTATAGTAGTATATACGACTCCATTTGTTACATCGTTGGCTTATATAGTTACATCATACAATTAAGTGTCAAGCATGAAATTAAGCCCCGAAAGCTTCACAGATCAGCAAATTTTCCTTGACAAGTTTCATTTGCTCGCGTGTGTACGGCAAAACATTGCCAATGTGCCAATTGCCATTAACAACATTCCATTCCGTGCACACGAACAACAAAACTTGTAATAGAAAATTTTTGTCAAGGAAACTTGTTTCACGCATACGTGATAATGTTTTATCAATATATCAGTGTTTGAATTTTGTCAATTTCAATAACATTTTAGAGCTGATAACAGGAGATGCCCTACTGATCGTGGAAAGATTGATGTTGATTCGGTAAGCATTTTATTTCATGTTCATTATTGTTTCATTTATCACTGTAGAAGATAAACAACACGCGCCCTTGAAACTATATAATGTGCATAATATACCTATTGGATGTTTTGACTATATAGATTCAGAATTCTTAATTCGGTTACTATACGTTTCTCAATAGACAACTTGCATGTTAGACAAATTTTTGATCTAGCCGATCTAGGCAAAAAAAAGTAAATTCCCGTTAAGAACTTATTAAAATTAGTACACTTGCAAAATTTGGTTGCGAAATGTTGTAAAGCTCGGAAAATATAGCGTTGCAAAGTTTGCATATTTTCAGTATATTTGTATTATGTGCGGAAATTGTTACCATTTTCGGCTCAAAAATTAATGGTAACAATTTCCGCTCGTAATACAAATATACTGAAAATATGCAAACTTTGCAAGGCTATATTTTCCAAGCTTTACAACATTTCGCAACCAAATTTTGCACTTTTACTAATTTCAATATGTTCTTTTTAGCTGTGGTGTCTGATTCCCTTTTCTCTGCTTAGATTAAAATTTTGTCTGACATGCAAGTTGTCCATTGCCTTACCTGAAATAATGTTTGAAAATGTGTTCGGTGTTTTATTTGTAAAACAATGCTAAAATAAAGCGGTTTTCTCATCAGAGCAGGCGCCTTTTATCTTTGAGATCGTGGGTTTGATTCTCGCTATGGACCCATGTGAAAAGACTGTCGGTCAACGCTCTGCCGAAAGTCGTGGGTCTTCTCCGGGTGCTCCGGTTTCCTCCCACAGGGAAAGTTGACAGGGTGGGTTAGGATAAACACAGTTAAGAAAGTAATATCACAATTGTTGCAAAGTTAAAATAGTCCAGGCTAAGTAACTATATATGTAATTAGGTAAGCGTAACACTTACCTAATCATATCGATCCACGTCATAAATTGCGCTGTAGAAATGTGCCAATAAGTCATAGATTTTATGTCAATGCTTTCGAGTTGGCGCTGCAATCGCAGTGCCGGCTCAAAAGGCAAAAAGTTATAGATTTTATGTCAATGCTTTGGGTGACTGTAAACTATTTATTTTGTATATAAATGTCAGGATGGTGTTTAAACGACCAATTTATATTAAATAGAGAGAATAGAAAAACTTTATTTACCCACGCTAACCCTGTCAACCGAAGCTGATTTCCACAGCCCACAGGGGGCGTGTAAAAATCTAGTAACACTTCATTTTTTGTGGCAAATTATTGTCTAAAGTTGCCTTAACAGTATTATAATTAACGGAAGGAATTTTGTGCGTTTGTTGACAATATTTAGAACCTTGATCAAATTTTGCACGAATTTGCCTAACTAGAATATTTCATTTTGCTCTGGAACGTGTTGTTAGTCGTAATCATTATTTTATATGGTACGCCAAAGAGAAAATGATGTCAGTTAAATATGGTGTCAATTTCAAAGAAATAGTATTCAACCGACTCGTTTTAGTACTATAAAATATTTTTTGTTTTTCAACCGGCAGTCGCATTTGAAAAGGTAAATAGCCTATATTAAGTCACGTAGCCACAGTAGAACAATGTCGCCTAGCCAAGCAGGTTGCCATTTTTTACAAGATTGTTTTTCAAGAAATTTAGAGAGCAGTCATTATTTACGGCGGTGGGGACACCGAAGAGGGGTTGGCTAAACAAAATTTTGAGCGAGTAAAAGGTTGGGTAAATGAAAAACAAAACAACTCAAGGGTTGGGTAATAAAAATTTAATTTAAGTCATTTCCAAAGCACGCGACTCACTCAAATATTGAAGACTAAAATGCAATGTCAACATGCAGTCATATGTCAATACAATATGTAAAGCAATCAGAGTCACTATCTTGATCATTTTCCGATTTGTCAGGAGGCAAATGTTGTCTCCAAAGAAAGTATATGTGCAGACAACATCAAACTTTAGACTGCAGAAAATTCCACGAGCAGTTATCAAACTCATGTCACAGAAGTGGTAAAGGATATGTGTGACAATTGAATGGGGTCCTGAATGGTATCCTTTTGTAAAATTTTTGTCCAGGGGTGGATATTTATTTTCTAATGATATTTGAGGTTGAGTAAAACATTTTTGGACTTTTAATGGTTGGATCAGAAAAACATTTGCCAAGAAAAACATTTCTCTTCGGTGCCACCCGCCCACCACTATAAATAATGACCGATCCCTTGTAGCTCAAATTTGAATCCGTGCAATTCCTCAGAAACGTTATCAAAGTTTCCAACAATATTTTATGCAAATACGTCAGAAAGAAAGACTTCCTAAATAATTGACAAGCTCCCATGTTGTTTTATTTATATACAATGTATTTTAGCCTTAATGGCGTCACGCAACGAATTATATTATTCCAATCAATGTCGAAATTTGTCAAACTATATTGGCTAGAAGTTATCGAGTATTCGTTACAGCAACAGTTCAACGAATATTGCTGCTTTCCAAAAATTAGGGCTCAAAAGTATAGACGAGTTCTGATAAAAATGTCAACAAAATTACCAAATGAATTCATGTTATTTTTTGTTGTTTTTATTCGTGTATTTAAAACTGCCGCTTGCTATAAAATTACATACCGCTGGCTCAACCTCTACTATAACAACTTGCGCGGAGCCTTTACACACGTAAAAACGCACAAGTTGTAACAAACTTGCAGCAGACTTGTGGCAATGCTGTTCCAACAACTTGTCAACAGGATGTGTTCGCACTGCTTGTTCCCACCAGCTTGTTGACAAGTTGTCGCGATGGCTTGTTGACAACTTGCTACAAGGTTGCTGAGCTCAACCGACTTGTTACGAGATATTCCAGCAACTTGTTATCGTCTTGCAACTCAACAATTCGTCAACAAGTTGTGCGTGACAACCTTGTAGCAACTTAATAAAAGAAAAAGGATTGTTACAACTTGATGACAAGCTTGCTACAAGCCTGTTGCGAATACGTCTTGTTGACAAGTTGTGAGATTTTTAAGTATGTAGCATATGAGCTTGTCTTGTCTTACGACAGATAATCCATCAGACTGACGATGCCTTTTGACGTGAGAAATTTGAACAATCAACACGCGTAAAAATATATCTCACACTTTGAAACAAGTCTGCCAACAAGCCGTCAACAAGTTGTGTTCGCACTGCTTGTCCCAAGTTGTCAACAAGTGTGGAACAAGCTGTCAACAACTTGTAACAACCTTAACTTGTTGCAAAAACTGTTCCAACAAGTCCGATACAGTCATGATATAACAATATTGTTACAACCTTGTGTCGTCAACCTTGTAACATTCTTGTTTATCATGACTGTATCAGACTTGTTAGAACAACCTTGCGACAAGTCTGATAATGCCATCAAGCTTGTTACAAGTTGTTAACAGTTTGTTTCAAACTTGTTACAACAACTGGGAACAAGCAGTGCGGAGACAACTTGTCAACAGCTTGTGAATATATTTGAAACATCTTGTTTGCAGACTTGTAACAACTTGTGCGTTTTTACGTACGTAGATCATACTAAATTTAAATTTTTTCACCTAATTTTTTCTCTATAAATAGGCAACAATCGACAAGGAATTTAACAAGGTAATTCTTGGTCTGGAAGTGAAGTGTTCGAACCACGAATGGGGATGTAAATGGGAAGGTGAATATCAACAGATACAGGTAAGACTTTCTTACGTCGTATTGTCTATAAATAAAAGCATCTCTCGAAGCATAGTATACTGAATATTGAATACTACATGCCCTTCCAAACTACACACGCAAAAATATCACATGTTGTAGCAAGTCTGCCAACAAGGCGTCATCAAGTTGTGTTCGCACTGCTTATCCCAAGTTGTCAACAAGTTTGAAACAAGCTATTAACAACTTGTAACAAGCTTGATGATATTATTAGACTTGTTGCAAGATTGTTCCAACAAATCCAATACAGTCATGATATAACAATATTGTTACAACCTTGTGTCGTCAACGTTGTAACATTCTTGTTAATTTCATGACTGTATCAGACTTGTTAGCACAACCTTGTAACAAAGTCTGATAATGCCATCAAGCTTGTTACAAGTTGTTAACAGCTTGTTCCAAACTTGTTACAACAACTGGGAACAAGCAATGCGAACACAATTTTTCGACAGCTTGTGAACGGACTTGTAGCAACTTGTTTGCAGACCTGTAACAACTTGTGCGTTTTTACATGTGTAGTTTGACTGATATGAATATTTCTGGTAATGATCCAGTCAAACGAAGACAAGAGTTGACTGATGCATCGTTACGGGGATATTTCAAGGTCTATACACACGTAAAAACGCACAAGTTGTTACAGGTCTGCAAACAAGTTGTTACAAATCTGTTCACAAGCTGTCGACAAGTTGTGTTCGCACTGCTTGTTCCCAGTTGTTGTAACAAGTTTGGAACAAGCTGTTTAACAGCTTGTAACAAGCTTGATGGCATTATCAGACTTGTGACAAGGTTGTTCTGACAAGTCTGATTCAGTCATGATATATAACAAGAATGTTACAAAATTGACGACACAAGGTGGTAACAATATTGTTATGTCATGATTGTATCGGACTTGTTGGAACAGCCTTGCAACAAGTCTGATAATGCCATCAAGCTTGTTACAAGTTGTTAACAGCTTGTTCCAAACTTGTTGACAACATGGGACAAGCATTGTTGACGACTTGTTGGCATATTTGCTACAAGATGAGATTTTTACGTGTGTACACACATAAAAACGCACAAGTTGTTACAGGTCTGCAAACAAGTTGTTACAAATCTGTTCACAAGCTGTCAACAAGTTGTGTTCTTCGCACTACACACATAAAAATCTCACATCTTGTAGCAAGTTTGCCCACAAGCCGTCAACAAGTTGTGTTCGCACTGCTTGTCCCAAGTTGTCAACAAGTTTGGAACAAGCTGTGAACAACTTGTAACAACATGTTGATATTATCAGACTTTTTACAAGGTTGTTCCAACAAGTCTGATACAGTTATGATATAACAGTATTGTTACAACCTTGTGTCGTCAACCTTGCGACATTCTTGTTATATCATGATTGTATCAGACTTGTTAGAACAACCTTGTAACAAGTCTGATAATTCCATCAAGCTTGTTACAAGTTGTTGACAGCTTGTTCCAAACTTGTTCCAACAACTGGGAACAAGCAACTTTTTACGTATGTACTTGTTCCTAGTTGTTGTGAAAGTTTGGAACATGCTGTTTAAGTAACAATTTGTAACAAGCTTGATGGCATTATCAGACATTTTAGAAGGTTGTTCTAACAAATCTAATTCAGTCATGATATTATAACAAGCTTAAGAATGTTACAAGATTGACGACAAAAGGTTGTAACAATATTGTTATATCATGACTGTATCGGACTTGTTGGAATAACCTTGCAACAAGTCTGATAATGCCATCATGATCAAGCTTGTTACAAGTTGTTAACAGCTTGTTCCAAAGAAAAAATATTCCGCTTCACCCTCGAATATAGGATGCATGTTAACAAGCACGACTGCAATTGTGAGTTGTTTTACTTTCATTTTTTCTCAGCTTTCTTTGTTCAATTTCTTCGTTCATTCCCCCATTTCCTGCTTTCTTTGATTCCTTCCTTTATTTCTTTCGTCGTGTTGATATTTCCCTAAACGAAGTTTCCCCATTTGCTCATCCTTGGAGACACAGAAACAAACTTTAAGTTTTCCACCGGGTAAACATATACTCTATTTCCCAAGCGTGATTTTTTACAATTTACACATCTAAGGGGGCTGATTACATGGGGAGTTTTCAGCCCGGGCTGAATTTCACCGCGCTGAAATTGTTTCACGATTACATTGCAAATTTCAGCCCGGGACGACTTAGAATTTCTGTTCAAACCGGATGAATTCTCAGCCCGGGCTCTGAATTTAACGATCACGCTAGTCTCAAAATGGAACTATTCCGCTTCTTCGAAGGATTTAAAATGTTGTTCATGTGAATCATGTCTATTATTTGACTTCTGCGAGACTGTGGTTGCATTTAAAAATAGAACAAATAGAAATAAAGCCACTTAAACGCTGTTTTTTCAACCCGGGTCAGTGGAAATTTCCCGTCGATCACACTGATGACGATTTTCAGACCAGTCAACTGGGATAAATTTTAGCCCGGATAGCTTCAACCGCGGGCTGAAACTCATCTCTGTCATGTACTAATGGTTTGCTGTGTTTTAATAGGAATTTATCCTTAGGCCGGGCTGAAATTTCAGCCCGGGAAACAGGACTGAAAACTCTCCATGTATAGCGGTCAGGCCCGTGAATCTCTTCATGTTTTTAAGAACAATTTCAAGTACTGTTTAAAACATTCGCAGCTGTGTTTAGTCAGATATAAAGATACGAGGCGAAGCCGAGTATCTTTAGGTCTGATGACTCACTCTGATAAAACACGCACTGCGAATGTTTTCAATTGTTTCAAAAACGATCGATCTAGTAAGTTCATTGGCCGAAAGTAATTTTAAAAAAATACGTTGTGTAAGTCGAGAAAATCAAAGTTAAAGTTTATGTAAATCAAGGGAAATCTCTATCACATAAAAAGATACGACACGCTTATATTTTTCTTTGTGTTTTCCTCATGAATTATTAATGAGTTTTTGAATTTCTCTTCATTCTACAGGAACATTTGGAAAGTTGTGAATATGGTGACATACTCTGCATCAACGATTGCGGCGCCAAGTTTCAAAAACGTTTCCTGCAGAAGCATCTCGACAAGGACTGTCCAAAGAAGATCATCGCCTGCTCTTACTGTGATGACCGACATTTGAGAGAAGACAAGAAAGAGCACATACAAGAATGTCCGAAAATTCCCCTGCCTTGTCCGAATAAATGTGATAAAACCTTGAGCATCTCTCGGGATGAGGTACTATAAGGGACCGGTCATCATTTATGGGGGGGGGGGGGGGGTTGGCACCGAAGAGAAATGTTATTTTGTAAAAAAATTTGCCGATCCAACCATTAAGAAGTCAAAAATGTATTTTATCCAACCTCAGATACCAATTAAAAATTGTTTTGTTTTTCATTTACCCAACCTTTTACTCACTCAAAATTTTGTTTACCCAACCCTTTTCTCTTCGGTGCAACCCCCTGCCATAAATAATAAAAGATCATTTGAATGAACTTTATACTATTACTACAATCAAACTAATATATAGCAAATTCAATTTTGAATTGTCAAGTTCTCAAACATCAAGCTTGAGCCCTGCTTGCCCCCCCCCCCCTTTCCCCTTCGCTGTGGAAATAGTATAGAAAAGATTTTTCATTGTAATGTTTTCTTTTTTAGCTTGACAAGCACATTGAAGAGAATTGTCCAAAGACAAAGATAAGTTGCGACTATGAAGGCATTGGCTGTGAACACAGGGTAAGAAAACTGTATGTTTTGCATGGGCGAGTGTCTGCTTTACACGTGCAAAAATCTCACATCTTGTAGCAAGTCTGCCAACAAGCCGTCAATAAATTGTGTTCGCACGGCTTGTCCCAAGTTGTCAACAAGTTTGGAAAAAGCTGTTAACAACTTGTAACAACCTTGTTGATATTATCAGACTTGCGCAAGGTTGTTCTAACAAGTCCGACACAGTCATGATATAACCATATTGTTACAACCTTGTGCCGTCAACCTTGTAACATTCTTGTTATATTATGACTGTATCAGACTTGTTAGAACAACCTTGTAACAAATCTGATAATACCATCAAGCTTAATGGGCAATTCCAGCTTTAGACTAAATTTTTATTTAGGCAAGAAGAACAAAATCCATCACCACAGCTAGAAAGAGCATGTTAAAATTAGCAAACTTGCAAAGTTTGGTTGCGAAATGAGGGAAATACATATATATATAAATATAATTTGTATTACGCACGGGAATTTGCACCACTTAACCCAAAGGCATGTGGTGCATTTTTCCGTTCGTAATACAAATTAATACAAAACAGTTTGCAAATTTCGAAGGGCTATATTTTCCTCATTTTACAACATTTCGCAACCGAACTTTGCAATTTTACTAATTTTAACACGCTCTTTCTAGTTGTGGTGATGGATTTTATTCTTCTTGCCTAAATCAAGATTTAGTCTATAGCTGGAATTGACCATTGTTTCAACTTGTTAACAGCTCGTTCCAAACTTCAGTACAACACTGGGAATAAGCAGTGCGAACGCAACTAGTCGATAGCTTGAGGACAGACTTGTAACAACTTGTGCGTTTTTACGCGTGTATACTTAAAAAAATTCGAGTGTCCTTTCTATCGAAGATGAAATCTAACTCAATTATCTCGCTTACAGTGCAGCCGCGAGAAATTGCCCAAACATTACAAGAGCGATATCATCAATCACGTAAAATTTATCTACGGCCTCGCAATGCAAAACAAAGAAAGGCTGGACAAGCATGATGCTAGTCTCGTGGAGCACGTTAATCTCATCCAAGGCGTGGATCGGCGCATCGGAGATCTCGAAAAAATCGCGCACAACGCGATGCTCTGGCGCGTCGAAGATTACACGCGCAAACTGAAGGAGTCGAAGGCGGGAAATTTGGAGACATTGTTCAGCCCGACATTCACAACCTCCAAACATGGCTATCGTTTGTGCGCATCCGTCTGCTTGAACGGTGATGGCAAGGGCAAGGGAACGCACATGTCCATCTTTGTCAGTGTTTTGAAAGGTACGGCATTCAGAACTAGATAGGCAATTCCCATTATATAGACTTTGCAAAAAAAGTATATTCCCGGAAAGAGCATACTAAAATGAGTAAAATTGCAAAGTTTGGTTGCGAAATGTTGTAAAATGCGGAAAATATAGCCTTGCAAAGTTCGCAAATTTTGTATATTTTTGTATTGCGTGCGGAAATTGCTACCATGAACATTTGGGCCGATTTGCAAACTTTGCAAGGCTATATATATTTTCCGCATTTTGCAGCATTTCGCAACCAAACTTTGCAATTTTACTCATTTTAGTATGTTCTCTCTATAGGCTATAAGCTGTGGTGATTTATTTGCATCTCCTTGCCTATAGCCAAAATTAGTCTATTATAATGGGAATTGTCTATTGCATGTATATTCCAGTGAGGTCTATATATATACTAATTTATTATGGATATCTGAAACAAGAACTATAGTCATTCGGAGGATCTCAGTGACACTATGTCCATGCAAAATTTCATGACAGCACTATGAATAGTTTCGGAATGGGATCGATTCACTTTTTTTATTTTGAATGGTCTAAATATTGTGAAAGTTGTATTCCCGCAACCAAAATTAAGCTTTTATTTCTCAGCCAATGCAAATTGTACGCTACGCCCACCAAAATTTCAGGTCAAATAGCGAGGATCTGAAAATATGTCCATGCAAAATTTCATGACAGCGCTATGAATAGTTTCGGAATGGAATCAATTCTCTTTTTTGTTTTTGAAAAGTTGGTATTTACAGTGGCGCTCCTTGGCCGTTTTAAGTTTGGAGGGGGGAAGGAATGGGTTCAGTTGACACTCCATTTTTACCGAAGAAAAGGGCGTTGCTCCACTTACCCTTCCCTTCGAGGTAGTGGTGTATAACTGAAATGATAACAAAGGGGGGCTCTTAAGGGGTGGGGGTTTGGTGACATGCAATACGTGAGGGCGACAAGCCGTGCATAAAAAGTTGGCGATGACCTCTCCATTTTCAATTTTACTGACAATCTCTAGCGAAAAATGGAGAGGAAAGGAGTTGCACAACCGCCCTGGAACTATACAACCCTGATTATTCATGAGAAATTTTTCCCCTTTTTAGGAGCATACGATGCTCTTCTAAAATGGCCATTTGATTACCGAGTAACCTTCTTCCTGCTCGACCAGAACGACGATCCGAACGAACGTAAACACATCAAGTTCAGCATCAAGCCCAACCCCTGCGCGGAGAACGAGCCGTTCCTGGGGCGACCCAGAATGGAAAAGAATGCCAGTTTTGGAGGAGCGAAATTTGTCCGACACGATGATGTCGAAACAAGAAAATATCTCAAAGATGATACTGTCTTCATAAAGGTCGTCGTCGACTGTGACGGAATGAGCGAGCCTTGAGACGAAGTTGGTTTTCAAACATTCATATAATAATATATTGTGTTTTTTTCGTGTGCTTTTACGCAGGGCGTAAGAGTATATTGTATTTCTTTACGTTCTGCGCGGGGTAAGTGGCTTTTTAATGCCAGGGGACTCCTGTAAGGCTTGTCATTTTCGAAAATGGATAGTTCCAAATGTAAAATGGGCAGTTTCTAAAATTTAAATTTGAGTTTTCGAGCTTTATACTATTATGTTTCTGGTCAGCGTGTCTGTCCTAAATTGACGCGCGCACTGTGGCTTTTTTTCTTCATCAGTTTTTTTAAATTCATGAGAACGCTTTTTGCAGAAAATGCGAGTAGTACATTTCTAGTTTCCAAAAGTGCCGGCTACATTGATTTTTATGCTTTTATGTTAAACTGTCACCCGACGTTTACGTAGAATAAAATGCAAACTACTATAGAATACTATTAAATGTTCAGGTGTATAAAATAATAGAAATTTATATGAAATAGACCCATTGCACTGACGCCACAAATCCTTATAGAGTGTCCTCCAGATGCTCCCTAACAATATCTGTTCGGGTACAACAACCACATACAGCGCAAAAATTAACCATCATTTTAATACATTATATTATAAACTTTTACAAAATTTGCTTTGTTTACAAGTGTTATATTATGCATAGATTGCTATAGATTTGTCCTCCAGATGCATCGTCACCGGCGCTGTGACGTCATGTGCAATGGGTGTATATCACAAATATGAAATATCACAAGAATATGGCTTATTCTCTTACACAAATCATGCCAAAATATGCAGTTCGCGTTTGAGTACTACTAATATGTATATCAGTTCATAAACATGTAATATATTACTTTCGTGTTAAAATTTCAGTAGATTTTCTTGACCAGGGAAAAAATTTCCTTGAGATGATCAGCCGGTTGTCATAAAAAAGCGTTGACGCGCATAGTCAAAGATGGCGTGCGCGCTGACCAGAAGGCAGACTGGCCTTTTTTGCCTAGGCTAAGGGCTATAAAGCTTAATTTAACAAGTACAGAAGGAAAGCCAAAGTTCAAAGCCACATGACAGACGGGCTTAGAAAATCCATGTCAGAAAAACAAAATCTCAGATTTATATAATATTGCATCCATATAGCTATCAATTATAGTTTTCGCAAATGATTCAATGAATTAGCAAATTTGCACTGTAAAAATTTTAGGCATTCAATTTCGAAGCATAAATTAGTTTCACTGAATTGAAATGTATGGAAAGAATATTAATGCTGAAACTATATAACCTGTAAATATGAGTAGCGCATGCACAATAAGCTATATTAAAACATAATAAAGTTCTGAAATTCATATCAATTGCGCAAGCAATGTGTTTTTTCATTATGTATCGAATCTATAGGTGCATGGCCTTTTACAACTGAACAGGGTGTATAGTCATATCATCAGTTCGAACAGAAATGGTTCAACGGACCACAGTCACAGAGCAACGAGTTTTTACTGTTTGCATAAAATTCACTTCAGCATTCTGTTTTACGCACCAGTATATTGCTATGCATTCGATTTCCAATAGCTTGATTTCTAAACTATAAAATATTTATGTCTCGTTTTTTCCCTACCCCTGTATACTGTACTATCCAGCTAGGCCGGGTTAGGCTACATATATCCGTTTTAAAACCAACACGCCCTCATCGTCGGTCTTGTTATTCTTTTGAAAATTCCCCGCATTATTCTCCATGCCACTTATAGTAGATATGCAAATAACCTATAACAAGAACAATACTAGAGCATGTCGTGGCTGGCGTCTAGCCCAGCCGCTAATTTTCAAACTATTCAAATGATGAAAGTTATTGTTGTTTTTTAAGCGTTTATTAGCGAGTGGGAAACTTCAACATGGCCGCCATCTATTCAAATGGGGTAACCGCTGGAATATTCTTGGCTTCAATTTTACTAAAAGAGATGCGCTATCTAATGTATATAAGATATTTATGGAATATATCCGTTATCGTCTTCGATATTTTTCACCAAAAATTTCAACGTTTGCGCGGGACGTTAGCTGCTTGAATTAATAAGAACCCATCGGTTGCTTCACGTGACTTTGGTCAAAATGGCGACAATGGAGGAAAATTTAATGTAAACGATCTTATCGACGACGTTACTGTCGAGCAGTTTTTCCAACGTACGTGGCGAAAATGCATGGCTATGACCTATATAAAACCTGTGGTATATCACGAATACTTTTTTCGCCCTGATACATTTAAACGTTTTAGAATTTTTATCCGGCTTATTTAAAGATCACTGATTGCTTTTCCAATTGTTGCATTCCAATCAGCCAACGCACGACGGAAGAACGTCTGGGAATGATACTTGATCTTGAAGATCTTCAGCTTAGAGATATCCATGACCCATGTGTCAAGGAATTTAACGCTACTTCCTTAATCTAGCTGATCTATACCAGATTTCCTTGTTCCTAACATTTTTTCATAAGGATTAGTAAATATAAGTCGAATAAATTATCGCCATCTTGAACTCTCTTCAAAATTCGTGGCGTTTAACACGTGAGATCTGATATAGCTGTTGATGAGAGTTGAGAAGGGAGAGTTGAGAAACGAGAGACGTCGAGTTCAACTCTCTTATCCCTGTCAAGCGAGAACAAGAGTTGCATGAGAGTTTATGAGAGTTGAGTTGAACCAGTTCAAAGTCAATGCCGAAAGTTACGTTGGCAGTCAAACACGACTCAGATCAACTCTCATCCTCATTTTTTGACCAAGGGCAGGGTTTTCATCAACTCTCGCTCGCGTCAACTCTCGCTCATCGATTCTCATCAACATTGAACTGCCAGAACTGGTTCAAATTTTAATGAAAATTGATGAGGGTTTTCGCTGCGCATGCAGTCAACTTTCATCTACTCTCATCAACTCTTAATTGTTCTCGTTTAATTAACCGGGGCATGAGAATTGAAAAAAATTGATCGCTTCTCAACTAGCATCAACTCTCATTCTCGTTTTACAAAGTTTTCTTTCCGAAGAAAAATTTTCTTGAGTTAAAAAATGGGCCTTACGACCTCCTTATTAGAGGCGTGGGATGGATATGGGGCCTTTGTCAAAGAATTATGTCGACCTTTCCCACAAAAGAAAAAACGTAATGGGCCCATATCAGTGAAGAGGTGGTTAGTTACGTGCGAATTTCTATCCACACTGAGCTTGTAATGACTTGATCAGCAGATCTAATTGATTGGGTTTCACTGATCAACTACTATTGGCGTATTTTTATTGACAACTCATGACAAACTATTTGATAACTGACTCATGATTGACTAACTACTCATGATAAAGCTATCACTATAAACTGTCAGAAACGATGAAACCTGCGCGATTCAATGGTAATTTTCGGAACAAAAAATCGTTTGAAATATCTTACTATCTTCAAACTGACAATTGGCTTGAATTCAAGCTCAAAATGATAGATAGACCTTACTAAAATTCATATGTAGTTGTTAATCGCGTTGCCGGTTTACGTTTTAGCCGGAAATATAAATTTTTTTCTATTATCTTTTTCAGATCTAACTCCTTCTTTTCTCCGTTTCATAATCTATCGCTCTCCTATCGTTTTCGATTCGGGCAATAACGAAAACAAACACCCACCCAAGTTTACTTATTGCTTACGCCCTTGGCTGGCCTGTTCGCAGCACGAAATTCTGTTTCAAATTTTCGTGTGGGGGCTGCAAGCAGGCTAGCCCTTGGCCGCCAACCAGTCGGTGTGGGGGCGACAGCAATCATATTTTTATCCGGTTCTCTTATTGGCAGTTACCAGTCATACCACTAAAATAGAGTCTAATTTTTACCGCCTACTCGCAAAATTAATTCCAGCTACCAAAAATTAAATTTGTGTTGCGCATAACGAAAAGCACTCCAGACGATCGAAAGGGGAAGCAATTTATACTCTAATTATACTGAATTGCGTCATAAACCATTAGATAGTTCATCTGAATTATTCTGCAATTCAAAAATTGAAGCCGTGATATTGCAGACGGCTCAGGATGTTCCCATGAAATGAGAAGATTCGTATGTTTTCTATTTCTTAAACAGGACTAACAGGGAACTTAAACATTAAGTTAAACCTATTCCAAATACATTTTTAAACTATTCAAATGATGAAAGTTATTGTTGTTTTTTAAGCGTTTCATATAGCGAGTGGGAACTAACAACATGGCCGCCATCTATTCAAATGGGTGTAACCACTGGAATATTCTTGGTTTCAATTTTACTAAAAGAGATGCGCTATCTAGTGTATACAGCTATTTCAATTAAGGTTGTCCCCGAGCAAAGCGGAAAAGTCGAATACGAGCGCGAAAGGCTGATGGGAATCACTAAAACTGATTAATAAATTAAGATATCTATATAAAAATAAGATATCTATGCATAAACCTAATCAGTTAGTGAATCATTTTCAAATCATGCCACAAATGCCTATTCTTTTAACAAACTTCGATCCCCCCCGCCCCTTTTCAATGTTGGGTCTCAGTTAGCATCCTACTTTGGTGGGTTCGCCAAGGTCAGCAAGCAAGCCAGCTCACGCTTTTATGGCCATTACCAACCAATCCGTTTGTCAGTTTGGTTATTTTTGTTTCATTCTATGGCCTTATTTCTTTAGTTCATCATTACGGGGCTAACTTGGCATATATGTTACATCTGAAAACGTGAAATGGGTGGCCAAAAGCATAATATTTAAATCAGTGATTAATCAGTGTGCAATGCCTGGATACAACCTGATATAGTGACGAGGAAATGTCAAGTCAGTCGAGACACTAACAGGTGCAAGAATTAAAGCCATTATAAATGTGTTTCCATTACAAAACGCACATAATGAAAAATAGCAGTTTAATTCCCATGATAACTGCTTGTTGACCATCATTAAGTTAAAGCATTATCCTGCAGGATATGGTAGTAAACCAGCAATGTGATGTTTCTTCATTTCTTGTCATTATACCCACCCCAGTAATATAGTTTTTCTATCCTACTAAATAATATATGCAAAACAGAATAAATTGCGAACATTCCAGAACGTACCATGTGACCCGTAATTAACATAATTTATGCAAATTGCAACTCGAACTTGCTATTTTGTTTTCAAGCACAACAGTAGGGATACGTCCACTTTAGCTCGGATTTTAAAGAATCTATTCAATTAAAAGACTTCAAACTACAAAGGAAGACACAATGAGGCTTTGCCTACAGTTTGGTGTCAATCGGACGAGATTTTAAGCCCGAGAAAGCAGCGATCGTAGCCGAAATGCCTGGTATTGACGCGAATTTTTGTAACCCCGTCAAAGAGAATCTTCTCTGCGGGTTATGTGGGTTACCTTTGCGAAAACCCGTCCAGATTTCGTCCTGTGGCCACCGATTTTGTGAATCATGTTTAAACGATCATTTTGAACCCTTCAGGTAAGCTTATATAGCAAAACTTTTGCGATCAACAGTGAAAATACTACAGAATATTTGGGCATTACAAGTGACCTAACCACTTGTGTTCTAAATCGCTGATATTGTTGTTTTAAGCGGCGATCAAATGCATGAATGCTTGCCCTTTTGGATAAACCGGAATCTTACGATTGTTTTGACGTTTTGCTATTTAAACATAAAATATTTTTGTGCAAACCGAGTACTAGAATCGTGAGCTTTTGTAGCGAAATTATAACCAATTTTGCTGATGTCATTCATGCGACTGTGGCTTCGCCGTCCATGACCATAAATGTTTTCGTACAATAAACGTGGCACCAAATTACTTTTTTTCCCCGGTTTTCTGCCTAGTAACTTCTTTTTACAAATATAATGCCAAAAGCGAACACTTTTTTCGGTTTTGCCTTTTTTTAAAATGGTTAAATGATTAAGGATAACAGATAAAATAGTGGGGATAAATTTTATTGCCGTGAAAATTTATGCGAATGAATGAAGTGGCTACGTCGTTCAATTTGTTGTTACATAATTCGAGGGTAAATAACACAAATATTAAACGGTTGTACATTAATACACACTATAAAACCCTTCCTATCGAAAGATATAATTGTTTAATCAATTATATCATCGTTTTAATACAAAGCTTATTTGAGAGAATTATTACCCAACCGACATTAACTTTTACTTTCTTTTATGTTTTATGGAAATATACCGAGTTTGTTGTTAATGATACCTAGGTATTTTGAATTAGGCGTTGACAGAAAGTATACATAACCACCCACATAGGAGAAGTGAAACCAATTGTGTGTTTGTTTTTATAAAGGAGTGCCAAACGGCATGGCTAGACGAATATTTTATTGTACTTTGCCCTATATTGCAGGCCTGTTGGATGGCTTATGCTCGTCCGAAGCCCACACTGGAAAGTAGGCCACTTTAGCCCTAGATCTCCTGCGACAGGCTAGCTATTTTGTAATACTAATTACTAATAAACTTCGGTTATTGCGGTAGTTCTCCTGCGGCAGCTTGTTGGTGATTTTAAAATGTTGCCTCTCTAATATGGACACTTATTATGCTCTATCCCTTCAGGCTCTGCACTAAGGCCCATTTGCACGATACAACTTGTTGTGTGCGATTCTTATCCTGGCACATGTACTCGAATACATGCATGTAAAGATGTCATATTTCAAATTTCACCATAAACTGATGAACGGGAATAGTGGCGTCAGTAGCCTGCGTGGCAGGCTCTCTGCAGGCTATGGCGTCAGCAGTCTGTTTATGCGCCAGGATGACAATCGTATATGACTGGTTACGTACCATTTTACTATCAAAGTATCTTTGTTCAAAGTTTGCTTTGAACAAAGTCTGTGGCAGTGTAGACTAAATTGTTTGCATGAAATTTTGACGGTGCTACTATGATCACAGAAAATTTTATTAACAGGGCAACAAGAGTGCATTTTGTAAACAGATGTTGAGAGCCCACGGGGGAATCTCCCACTTATCCCAGTAGACGATGCCTTCGCATTTAGCCAGTGTAAAATAGAAGGTGGCAGATAGCTCTTTAACCCTTTAAGTGGCAATGCGCCCTACTTTATTATTTTACTCTGTCTAACAGCAGACGATTTTCCTTGTCAGGGGGAGAGTGCTGCCACTCAATAGGTTAATGGGTCATATGTGAACAGAAAACGTATAGGCTGATAATTTGGTCAACCCATTATTTTGCAAGAATCTTCCCTTGACAAGTAAAGGATTCTTATCCTGGCTTATCTACTCAAACAAATATGTGTAAAGATGTCACATTTCAAATTTTCATCTTCAACTGATGAACAAGAATAGTGGTGTCAGCAATCGTTTTCATATAAAGCCAGAATGACAATTGTATAAGACTAGTCATATGTGTGTATGGGCCTTAAAGTTGTTCAGTATTTGACAGAATAAATAACAAACTGTGGCAAATTAGCATGCAAAATGTCGATAAAAGACCATGGGCAGGGCTGCAAATTACTGTCGGACATCAGACAATGTCCAACTAAATCTGGCAAATGTCCGAGCAAAAGTAATTTTGATCGGACATTGGTCCGATCACAAAAAATAATTGTCACATTATACATTTTTTGGCTGTGACAAAATCTGATTGCAAATTCACTCAATTTGCATTTTGCAATAAAATTTACGAGGCGTTCTAGCATTTAATTTTACTTAACGTTGCACCGAAATGGCATACATACTCGTGACTTACATATATCTTCAGTGTGACGTATATATATGGCCGACCAAATTTAGTGATGTTGGTTTTTGTCCGACCAAATTCAAGTTATGTGATCGGACAAATGTCCTGTCAAGTCAAATATTTATTTGCAGCCCTGATGGGTTATGCAATAAAATTAATAGTCAGTTTTCTTCTAAGTCGAAATCTTTATAACAACAAAGACATCTCTTCTACCCTTTGTTCAACAAAATATCTCTCCTACAGTTGTTTAAGAGCTTTCTTTTGATAAGTAAAATCATCTGGTGTTAGACAAAGTAAAGCACATAAGGGCACTTTGGGGCTTAAATGGGTCAGACAATAAAAAACACTATTCTCTAAGACATGCAGGTGTACAGTAAGTATTAGCCCCTTAGCCATTACTTCCATTAGCAGATTATAATGGCTACCTCGCCTATGCACATGTTAACCCATTAATGTGGAAGGGTATGCTAAGCATTTAAGTTTGCCTGACACCACGCCATTATTGTATTTACCCAGGTGACGAGCCTTGAAATTGAGGTTAAAACATTTCACACTGAATCAAGTTTTAATCAATTTCTTGTGTCAATTAGTCTTGAGAATTAATGCCATCAGCATTACTGCCATCAGCATTACTGCCATCAGCATGTAAGTTGGCTGCAGTAGTGTCTTTCAAATTCTAGAGGAAATGCATTTACTGGTATTGGCATTAATTTCTGTGTGCATACAGCTGCATAATTACATTCACAATCTAAACTCACTATCAGTTCCAAAACACATATAATGTATATTTTGGGGTTTAGCTGCATGGATAGTTTTCTTTAGTGATTTGGCTAATTTATTGAGAAAACTGTTAGCCAAATTTAAATTTTTGTAGCCAAACACACACATATTAAAATCTTTCCAAACATATTCTGGAGTGCTCGGAAAGATGGGAAAATGAACTCTTTGGTGAAATGATAATGAAAATATTTCACCGAATGTAATTTTTATTTGCATTTGGCGATTTGGTGAATGACAGCTTAAACCCTGTATTTAATATATTGTGTTATAAAAATATCTAATTATATGGCTAATTACATAATAAATGTTTGGCAAAGAAACAAATGTTGTTAGATTTCCACAAAAAAAACGAATCAATTTTATTTATTGTCATGCAAACCAAAAAAATGTTAACGTTTTTTCAACTGGTATACCAGGTTTCCAAGTTTTAGGCTTTTAGTATCCCCCCCACGAATGCACCTTCGCCCAGCGGCTACGCTCGTGTTCCAAGATCTGCCATGTAAAGTGTAGTGAAATGTATCTCATCGTAATATTAAATCCTAAGAAAACTAAAGCCTCTGCGGAGGAGAGAGCAGTATGCCTGTTTTGAATATGTACAGTCAACAACTAGGCAGTGAACAAGGTGGGCCATCATGAATTAACACGCTAAGAGATGCACACAAACCATTAGGAAAACATTTTATGTAGTTTAGTTTGGGAGAAGAACAAATTTATAACAGCATGAGCATGACCCTAGCTTTCTTCGCCCAAAAAGCAACACACTACTACTCTTGATCTGGGCTTTCAGCCAGGATCCTGAAAGAGGGCATCCGATTTTGTTATAATGACACATTTACAGTAGGGGGAACATGTTCCTCTGGAAAACCTGGGCCTGAGACTCTTAAACAGTATTAGAGGTGACTGAACCCCTGGATTAGAGGTGACTGAACCCCTCTTGATCTGGGCTTTCAGCCAGGATCCTGAAAAGGGTGTCCGATTTTGTTATAATGACATATTTACAGTAGGGGGAACGTTCTTCTGGAAAACCTGGGCCTGAGCCTCTTAAACAGTATTAGAGGTGACTGAACCCCTGGATATTTTCATTCAGCCATGTACTGTATACCACTACACCATCAAATTGATCAAAATGTGCATTGTATACTAATAAGTAATATTTCGTTTCAGATATATTAAATATTTAGGGAAATCATTGAGAATAATTTCCCCTTTCCCTCCAGAATTTTGGCCATCCAAAGGCATCCATTTCTCGTTATAGGGCATTCCAGGATGCCTGGGAGCCCTTCTGGCTAAAAACCTGTCTTAATCAATGTTTTGTTTTGGGATAAAAAGCTGTGAGATTGACTAGTATCCAGTCAGTATACTACAAAATTCCAAATATTAGGATAATATGAAATGTCTCGGTGTTGTGGTCTCCTGTTAGCTTTTGAGTATAGTAGTGAGTATTCTACCTTGAAAGTTGAAAATAACTAGCCTTTTTAGGTGATATTTCAGCAGCTCAGTCTACTCTTACTCTTAGATAGACGTTTTCTTGTGTTAAAGCACTCACCATGCATTGCAAACTCGGCTCAGTCGGCTGGTTTGTTTAATGCATAATACAAGCTGCCACAAGTCATTATATAAGAATCCTGTCAAACTGCCAAATTGCTTTGCCAAGTACGGTAAAATATTTACATAAAGCGGACTAAAGTCACAAGCCAGCATATGATGCTGTAGGCCAAATTTGTTAGAGTAAGTAACAAAATGGCATGGAAATTGAATACTGAAACTTGGAAAAGTATTTTTATTGCTAGCTTTTAACCATTATAGTTATATCTTGAAGTAGTTGAGTCAGGAACAAACAATATAATTCGTGTTTGAATAGACTCATTCAAGAATTTCCTTATGTTTAATGTACTTTTGTTCGCGTTTGTCATTTGTCCAAGCTAAAAATGTGCCAAAATCAATATCAACGATGCCGCCAATGACTGTCATTGCCAATGTTAGAAAACAAAAAATGGTACTCTTATGAGTTATGGAGCGTAAAGCCATAAACATACACTCATGATCTTGTTTTTTATTATTTTACTCTTTCTAACACCAGACAATTTTACTTGTCAAGGGGAAAGTCTTGTACATTAGTCATTACATTACTGGGTTAAGAGTGTTTGTCAAATTTTCTTAATTCGACTTATTAAAGTAGGTCAAAGTAGGTCGAATTGATATGACAAGGTTGAAAGGCAAGACTAAGAAATACTGATATCAATATTATCGGTATTTATTTAGTCAGTATCGGCTTTAGAAAACTGTATTCTTTCCGTATCATCGCAACAGCCTATAAAACTCTAACTCTAAGAATACGTTAGCATATTTTAAGCCTAAGACTTAAGTTCTCCAGAAAAATAATTAAATAATATCTATGAAGGTTAAGCATGAAATTTCGTGTTCTTATAAAACAGAATGTAGCCTATAGCCTTTGTTGGATGCAGGCGCTTATTTTGCCAGTGTAAACAGTATTCTTTGTTTGCAAAGACACAATTTTGGGATTTCAGTTGAAGGGCAGTTATGACAAAAAACGGCTATTGTTATGTATTGATCGAGTTTAGAGACAGTTTTAAGACTCAAAAGATGAATCACCGTTCAGTTTTTCTTGCTACTAACCATTCTGATAGGAGAAAAATCGTCCACAATTGTTTGATTGCCGTCATTTGGAAGAAAAGTCACGTGATTGTAAACAAAGAATATTTTCATTAAAGGCATCTCCATTAGTGCTGTGTTTAAAGAATGTGACAAAATCCTATGGCTATCACCGAGTCAATATTAGCTTTGTATACTAACATTAATATGTGCTATATAAACTAAGTCCACCTTTGTAGTAAAGCGAAGTGTCAAGTTTCAAAACCAAAAGGCAAAGTAAACTACAAAGTGTCAAAAATACAACTTTGAAGGCCATTGTTACGTGAGGAATTTTTTTTTATGTTATTGCAGAAAAGTATTGCAGAAAAATTTGAGTATGGCCCGCATTCAACTTTGCCGACACTTCTTTACATAACATACTCTTAATGGATGAAAAATGAAAAAAAAAATGGGATGAAAAATGTCAGCCAAATAAACCGTGGGCCATGCTCAGAATTTTCCTGCAAATATGTTTTGGACAACATCGTGGCTCTGTATCCGAAATTGCGTTGAAAGTTGCCGAAAAAATTGCCGCGATATGGTTTTGAGTAACACTGGCAAAATATGGGTTATCCTTTCTAGACCATGCACTATGCCTATGGAGAGTTCGGGACTGATGAAGGGATTGAAGCCATAGGCAGTCCAACAGTACGTGTAGAATGCACCAAATGTTAATTTCTAAATAGGCTCTCTCCTCGCGCACCGCCAAGCACTCGATTAAAAAGCATTGTATAGCATTGTGTACTAAATACCTAGTATGATAAAGCTGTCTGAATAAAACTATCAATTTAATTTGGTTATAGTTGGAAAATATGGTCAATATTCAATAAGTAACAGTGACAAACTGACAGGAATATTGGGGTTATACATATTACTGACATTGGCGACAAGTGCGAAGTTATTTCACTGACCTCAGAATGACATTTCGTCAAAACTTTTTTCTTCAAGATTGTTTTAGAAACAAACTTGGAGTAGGGTTAGATTAGGGTAAGGGTTAGGGTTAGAGTTGGTGTTTGGAGTAGGGTTAGTGTTAGTAAAATCGTTGTTTTGTTATGTTTTGTCACTCTGAGGCTAGCGAAATAACCTCTTCCTGGCGACAATACTGGCGATCTCAGCCATTTTTTGGGCTTAATTATATTTAAATAGAAGCCTGGCATCAAGTCATTAGTCGTTGTAAAATCGTCACTTTCTCATCGAAACTGTCGTTGTGTTGTGTTGTGTCGTTGTGTTGTGTTGTGTTGTGTTGTGTTGTGTTGTGTTGTGTTGTGTTGTGTTGTGTTGTGTTGTGTTGTGTTTTGGTCCATCATTGTATTTATTTCTTATGCACATCAGGAAAGCTAAAGCCTCAGGGTGCGTGTATATGATCCAGTAAATATTGAACTAAATAATTTTATGTTTAAGAGGAGAATCTTTTGTATGTTACGTGTAACACGTCCTCAAAACTAATGAATATAGTTTTCCACTTGGGTATGACTTTTCATACGTTTCTCAAGCGGCAAACAAACTTAAAGAGTATGTTTAGTGCTTTATCTGTAAAATTATGCTAAAATGAAGAGATTTTAGATCGCATACCAAAGAGAAAATGATCTGTCTGAAGTTCAGCAAGTTTTGCTTATATTGGCTATTGCTGTATAAACATGGGGTCAATTTTACAGTATTAATGATAGTTACCTCTTAATCCTTCACCTCACACAGTAAGCGAGAATCTGCCATTTGCAATAGAATGAAAATCAGTGTAAATGAAAATACCTTTATAATTATCTGGCGCAATGCATAAATCGTGTAGTTCATTGCGTAAGTAATTGAGCTCGTGACTTTACTAACACAAAGCGGTAATTTAAAAGCACTCGGGATATTCACTTATTAACCTTCATTTTCCTCTTTTGCCTTTGTTTAAAACAAAATAACACTTAACATTTCTTGAATCGAATGCATCGGAAATTGCAAAAGATTAAACGTCCTTACGTAAATGTATTTCCTTAAATTCATGCCTTTGATAAGCCTTGGTATATTTCGAAATCTTTTTTTTGTATATATCACGTCTTTTTAATCTATTAGAAAGATTTCAATCTTTCCACACAAAGGTGTTAACCAAAGAAATACAATGGTATAAACAATGCCTGTGTTATTTTTAAATTTATTTATATATATATTTGGTAAGGGTATATAGGGTAAAATGCGGTTCTCAATTTTTCCAGAGTTACTTTTTACATGGCTTGCAGAAGAAATTATATCCAAATTTAATTCAATCTTCTATATCCAAATTTAATTCAATCTTCTATATCCAAATTTAATTCAGCCCTCTTTTCATATCAATACAGAACTAATCAATCCACTTTGTCTCAGAGCTTTCGTAAGTTTGGAACAAGCTGTTAACAACTTATAACCACCTTGTTGATATTATCAGACTTGTTGCAAGGTTGTTCCAACAAGTCCGATACAGTCATGATATAACAATAATGTTACAACCTTGTGTCGTCAACCTTGTAACATTCTTGTTATATCATGACTGTATCAGACTTGTTAGAACAACCTTGTATAGCAAGTCTGATAATGTCATCAAGCTTGTTACAACAACTGGGAACAAGCAGTGCGAACACAGTTTGTCGACAGCTGGTGAACAGACTTGTAACAACTTGTTTCCTGCAACAAATTGTTCGTTTTACGTGTGTAGGATTTTAGATTTTGGGAAGGTTTCTAAATTTTCAGGGCGTGTACTTGCCAAATACCCAGAATTGCCAAATGCACGGTTGCCAACAATATATATATATATATATATATATATATATATATATATATATATATATATATATATATATATATATATATATATATATATATATATATATATATATATATATATATATATATATATATATATATAGACTATTATCCAATAAGATGGGGAAAAAGCTTTTTATATGGCTGAAAAAAAATACCTGGAGAACTTAGTGAAATTATTTCCTCAAAAGCAACATATTTTACTAAACGAGCCATTACAACATACGTAGGTGCAACATAATCCATTTCAATTGGTTATAGAAATTTTGAAGTACCTAATTTTTGCTAAAATTTGACCTATTATAACTTAAGTGTATTGTTTTTTAATGTTAAGGAACCGCGCTATGGTTGGTATGTGTGAAAAATTGATAAAGTTGGCTTCGCTTTTTCAATTTACGTAAAAACGACACGTTTGACACTTGAAAATTTGAAGGAAGCCCTAATATACATCCCACTATTGGTGCAAGATACGTAGGGTTGCCAGACATTTTCCCTTCGATTTAAAACCATGGGAAATGATTTCAAAGGATAAACATGTCAGAATATAGAAATGTATCAACAGTGACCTCTCCCCACCGCCTCAAATTTGCCCGTGAATAACTAATTAAGTCACACCAATGCGATACTTGAAATCTAGTTCAGTCCGAATTGGAGGATTTGAAATGACATCTCATACGAATAAATCACTATACTTAAAGTGAGGTGAATTAATTTTGATCCAGTCCAAGGATTGAATTAATTTTTCGATCCAGTCCTAGGAGTGGATCAATATACTTCACCAGGTGTCCAGTCCAGATGATCTTGATACGCGGAAAAGTACTGGCACTAGTTGTCAAATAGAAATCCATTTTATGATTAAAACAACTGAATATCTCCTGTAATATACTTTATTTCGATTCCATATTTTTGTCAGAGCTATAGTTCTCATAAGCAAACATAATTACAAAATTTCAACTAGTTTCATAAAGAATAACGAAAGATATAATTGACTGAATACATCAAAATGGATTTCTATTCTGACAACCCTTTCTGAGCGCTGATTGGCTAAAATACGAACACGAGATCACCTGGGTATTATCATGTGAGCAAAATAAAGCAACATGATGTTTGTGATGTTACTCTGAGTGAGCATCCACACCGGACAATCAACCTATCCTGCCTGATATAGTCTTAACCTACTTGTCAAATTATGAATTAGAAGCTAAATATTGATATGTTTACTTTGCCATAACGATCTTCTATACTTTCTATTATATTCCATGTAAAATTATTAACATGCAGTAGCCAACTCGAAAGCTCACGCTATACTTTGGTTACTGCGCACATCCAATCTAAGTTTATAATACATCATTATGTAATAATTCTTAAGTTCTATAATTTCAACAAATAACTTGTAAATACTAATATCATGTGCATAATAAATCTTTCTTTCTTTCTTCTTCTGACCACGGTGAAAACTTTTCAGCTTGTCCGGTGTGGAAGCTCACTCAGAGTAACATCACAAACATCATATTCACCTGAGTACATAACACCACATACACAATCAAGCAATATGGTTGGCTAATTTACTCATGAATTATTATTATCCATATACTATGGATTTAGTGATGCTATCGCAAATTCCATATGAGTAAAAGAGGCTTAGTTTAGGTTTCCTCTCTTATCTCATAGTCTATATGGTTTCCTCCTGTGATATAAACATTTGACCAACAGGCAACAAGGAAGTAGTTCTTACTGCACCTTTGTGGGGAACGGTTTCGACTCGTAGAGCTATATCCGGTATAAATAAAGATAATATAGTTTAGGTTTCTTCCTGTAGTAATACTGGACTATAGTAAGTGAATGGCAAGAACACTTTAGAACTGACAATGCTGTTGGGATTAGCATTTCTACAGCACAAATTTACATGTGAAAAATGATCAAATATACGCTTTGCATCAATCGTCTTGAAAGTTCATTCAGCGAAGTCAGGAAGGAGTTCGAACAAAATTTCTTAATAAACGACCTTTCTTGTCTTTACTCTTTCAACGTACTTATGTTGATAATAAACACTCACGAACGATATGTATTAAAACATTCTATTTAAAATTAAAAATATTTACTAAAAAATGGCTCACAAAATATATTTCGTATAAAAACCTCGTCAGTTGTTCGTATTACTTTCTTAACTGTGTTTATCCTAACCATAGATATCTATATATACACTAGATAGCGCATCTCTTTTAGTAAAATTGAAGCCAAGAATATTCCAGCGGTTACCCCCATTTGAATAGATGGTGCGGGCCATGTTGGTCGTTCCCACTTGCTAATAAACGCTTAAAAACAACAATAACTTTCATCATTTGAATAGTTTAAAAACGTATTTGGAATAGGGTTAACTTCATGTTTAAGTTCCGTGTTTAAGAAATAGAAAATATACGAATCTTCTCATTGCATGGGAACGACCTGAGACTGCAATCACGGCTTCAATTTTTGAATTGCAGAATAATTAGATGCACTATCTAGTGTATATAAGATATCTATGATCCTAACCCACCCTGTCAACGTTCGATCCCTGTGACTCTTTTCACATGAATCTGATTATGACGTAAGATCAGCTGATATACTACACAGTCTTGGTTGGGAAACTCTTGACCAACGTCGTGCTAAACAGCTCGCAACAAGTATTTATAAAGCAGTGAATAATTTATATCCCAACGAGCTTAATACTATTTTTGAACCTACCTCGTAAGTCCACTCTCACAATCTTAGAGGTAGTTCGCACAGTATGTTCACCCCTAGACCCAGAACGGAGGCTGGTAAAAGGAGCTTCGGCTACCGTGGGGCTGTGTTATGGAACGATCTTCCGGATGAAATAAGAAGTCAGGCTTCAATATATCTTTTCAAAAATAAACTTTCTAACTTTCAAATTTAATACTAAGATTAAGTAGTTGTAAATATGATAGGATTGTATATATATTTAGCTAATTTCTTTTGTTTTTGCATTTTTACATGGCTCCTTGGAAGAGCACTTTAGTGAAAGGACACCATGTTACCTATTTATGTATTCTTTAATAAAAGCTTCATTCATTCATTCATTCAATCAGTAGCGAGAATCGAACCCACGAACTCAGCTAGATAGCATTTGGACTTCACGGCTTCGGTGTCGTAGTCGTCAGCGGATCGAGCGCCTTTCACGCTGAGATCGTGGGTTATAGGTTCTCGCTATAGGACACAAGTGAAAAGAGTCAGTCAACATGTACTCTACCGAAAGTCGTGGGTTTGCTCCGGTTTCCTCCCACAGGGAAAGTTGTTGACAGGGTGTGGGTTAGGATAAACACATGCAGTAAAGAAAGGAATATCACAATTGTTGTAAAGATAAAAATAGTCTAGGCTATAAGTATGTAATTTATATATCGGGGAATATTCACCGAGACGAAGTCGAACCCAATAATCACCGAGCCTGAGGCGAATAATTGTTTTAGTATTTTTACACAAGCCTTTTGTGTTTTTTGGGACTGAATTTATTTTAATTTCGCTTATTTCTTTATCAGTAACTTCCACAAAACGGCTAGCCGCCATTTTGTAAATTTCAGTTTTGTTATATTCACTTGTAGGTGCATGAATATAACAGGTTAGTACGTCACATTTGACCAATCAACTTGTAGGATTTGTTATGTTCACTTGTGCAAAAATACTAAAAAGTCATTATTATTAGTAGTAGTATACTGTATTATTATCAACTGAACTGATGGTCAAAGTATAAATACAGACCAGAATTCTGAAACATATTTTCATATTTTTTATTTGAAGTCAAGGGCAACAAAATATAGACCTTGACAATGCCCATATTGATTATAGTTGCTATCTTCCGTTTAATTTTGTTTAACAATTTCAAAACGTGATAACCGTATACGAAATCCAGGTAATTTTCCGTGGAATGTACTGCAGAACGTGACAAGACAGATATATATACACTTGAAAAAAAAATTTGTTTCATACAAATGTCGTGGCTTGGCAAACTTTCTATAGATCTAATGGCAAAACGTCATACAATATCCGTCAATTTTTTATGACATTCATCCAAGAAAGAGTCTTTATGACACGTACATTTCAGCCCCTATTATGACGCAACCCGCCTCGTTCTTTCCAAGCTATAAAAACACCGTGCTTGCCCCTGCAAGTCATTCGGTGTGAACTTGTTTTGATTGTCGCATGCTGTGATCGACCAATTGAGCATCGGTATTTTTCTATGGACATGAAAACTTATACATTAAATTGTTTTAGAAGCGATCAAGAGTTGCGATGCCCCGCGGATCAGGTCGAAGTCAAGCATTCACAGGTTAGAATTCTTTAATATTGTTATTTTATACAGTACAAACCGACGTAGAACAGCCAGTATTTTTGGCGACAAACTAAAACAGTTAATATAGCATCTATATAAAGTACATGAAATGAGGCAGAAGTCGCGTTACTTAAGTCTTAGCCGTGTTTTTAATTTCTACTTCAAAACAATTAGTGGTTTAGTGTTTACACTAATTGAATTGCTTTTTCAAAGCCTTCGAATTTCATGAAATGAATCTTCGTGTCCTGAACAAGCGAGCATGTTTTTTGGATTAAGTTGTGGCAGCTTGTATAGCTTTCATCTTTATAAGTAAGGTTTTTTAAGGACAGACTATTTTTCCATTCAAAATGTTCTTGTATTTTATAAGCTGCTTATGTTATTGCCTAAATTTCAAACGGTGCAGCACGATCTTTAAATGCCGATTTAGACAACACATCTTTTGCCTAAAACTGTCGACAGTTTTAGGCAAAAGTTGTGTATAGGGTAAGTCGGCCCTAATAATCCGCCGTTTCTTTTATGCATTAGTGCATGGAGGCACAGCAGACTATAGCTAAGGTGGTTAACTTGTTAACCAGAGTGAATGGGTTGGTTTTGAAGATCGGTTACACCGGTTAGCATATGTTGGAATCTGACATCGTGCCAATTAAAAAGATGTATTCGCAACAAGCTTGTAGAGAATTTGTTAACAATTAAGTTGTAGCCTAACTGTGCGGTTATTTTATCGTGTTGTTAAACGTTTGTCACTTGCAACTTGCTAACAAGTTGTGGAATTGTGACTAGTGTGCTTGTTGGGAAATTGTAACACTGTAGCAAATCTGTTATACATGGTCTTGTAACAATTTGTTAATTTTCTTTGTCAGAAGTCTTCATTTTGTCACAATGAAATAACATTTCCCGCATTCAGAGAGCACTTTGGAGCAAAAATAGAACAGTTTTAAAACAGATTTTTAATGGATATTCAACCATGAAATACTTTCTTCTTTTTACAGTTAATTATTCACATTTGCCGCAATGTCTTCAAAGCATATTGTGAAAAATATAACACAGCGGAGAAAGATTGTGTTTCAAAACAAAATTGAATTAGATCTCAATCGTTTTTACTATACCGTATATATACTGTTTAATGCACCGGTAGTAGCAGAAAAATGCTATTATATGTCAGTCGCTGAAAGTTCTGAATTGTGCATGGGTTTTGACAAAACAAATCAATTATAATCACGCCACGCAAACCTCGCATGATACAAAACATAACTAACTAATTTAACGCATGGTTGAATTGAAAGATTTTGGTAGCTGAAAGATTTATTCCAACTAGGCATAATTACATTCCAAATAGGCATAATTACATTCCAACTAGGCATAATTATGTAATGCAAAGTTAAAGAGCTTTCTTATACATAAACGTAAAAAGCTCACATCTTGTACCAAGTCTGCCAACAAGCTGTCAACAAGTTGTGTTCGCACTGCTTGTCCCAAGTTGTCAACAAGTTTGGAACAAGCTCTGAACAACTTGTAACAACTTTGTTGATATTATCAGACTTGTTGCAAGGTTGTTGATATTATCAGACTTCCAACAAGTCCAATACAGTCATGATATAACAATATTTTTACAACCTTGTGTCGTCAACCTTGTAACATTCTTGTTATATATCATGACTGTATCAGACTTGTTATAGAACAACCTTGTAACAAGTCTGATAATGTCATCAAGCTTGTTACAAGTTGTTAACAGCTTGTTCCAGACTTGTTACGACAACTGGGAACAAGCAGTGCGAACACAACTTGTCGACAGCTTGTGAACAGTTTTGCAACAACTTGTTTTTGCAGACCTGTAACAACTTGTGCGTTTTTACGTGTATAGGAGGCATTACACACGTAAAAATCTCACAACTTGTCATTACGATGTGTTCGCAACAGGCTTGCAGCAAGCTTGTTACAAAGTTGTAACAATGTTGTTATTTTATCAAGTTACTACAAGATTGTCACTCACAACTTGTCAGGACAAATTGTTGAATTGCAGGACGATAACAAGTTGCTGGAACAACTTGTAACAAGTCTATTGAGCTCAACGGCACTGTAGCAAGTTAATGTCAACAAGCCGTTGACAACTTATCAACAAGCTGGGAGCAAGCAGTGCGAACATATCCTGTTGACAAGTTGTTGGAACAGAATTGCTACATGTCTGCTGCAGTTTGTTACAACTTGTGCGTTTTTACGTTTTTACCTGGAAAAACTTTTTAATTAATGCTCCTCGGATTCTGAATTTGCTTTTTTGAAACTTTCTCAAAAGTGCGAAAAACGAATAGATTTTCGACCGTACATTAGCCCATTCTCGTCCCCAGAGCCATTTTTACTCGGTCACTCGTTGAAAATTAGGCTCTGGGTTAGACGACTAAAGGGAGAGATCTGACTGGCTTCTCAGAGAACTGCTATTTCGCAGAAGTTGAGCAATTTTCGCAGGAAAAATTATTCTATCAACATATGTCAACGCAAATACTTCGTTTCTTCGTAATACTTCACTTTGAAAATTGTTACGGGTGCCAAAGTGTCCCAATTGAAGAGCATGCGCTTTAGAAACTACTGCAAGTTTTCTTGCACTTCCGGTTCCGTATGTCCCAGGGCCTAGGGAGGACGCGCGCGGCCGAGAGGCCCTGGGAACGAGGATGACATTAGCCAAATTTGAACATTGGATAACACTTATATGCCAGCTTCGTGTTAACCGCGCAGACAAAAGCAATAAAAAGGGCCTGGAACTGACGTCCAATAGCTCTTCAATTTCCGCTATCTTGCGTGACTTCAGCTGGAGATATATATGAAGCTGACTGGGTCTGATGCCTTCATTTTTCCTCACGTTGGTATACTTTTTTGAAAAAATAAATTTGTTTAGTTGGTGAACAGCAAACACTATTTAAGTCAATTAAAATGTGAATGGCAAATTGAATAAGTTTGGCACGGTCCATTGGAATTCCTTGTTCTGTCTCAGTTGTCCTTTTCAGAACAAAAACATATAATTAGCATAAATGAATTTGCCCTGAGGCTAGTGGGTTGGAGGCAATAACAAACAATTTTTTCTTTAAATTTGCATTTGTCGAGTTCCAGTTTATACTCTGAATAACATTCCAATTAGCCAATTAGTACAATAAGTATCTGTTTTAATGTGTTATTACATTTTACTGGAAGCATTTCAACACTATATAACAGTCAACAATAAACCTCTTGTAAGCTTCGACTAATGTAATGTAGGTCGAGAGTCGGAAGTTTTTATGCTCGAGTGCAAAATGCCACCGGCAAAAAATATTTTCCTAATCCTTAATTAAGTTAACGTATCAATTTCTGTTTGTTAAATACCTATTTTGATCATGCCAATTTGTAAATATATAAATCGTTTTTAACTATAGATGCATGTATAGCCTATAGGTGTATTGGGTGGGAATAAGTATTTGCATAATTTTGTCTCAAAATACATTCTTAACCCTCGACATTTTACAATAAATCAAATCACCATTGCTGTCACATGTGATATGTATTTATTGTAACATTATCACCTACAATCTTATCGGATTTAAAATCAGCAACCCTTGCACTTTGTAACATCAATGCCGCGAAGCTCAACAAGTACCATCACAATTTTTCCCTGGTAAGTCTGTGTACCTATTTCTTAATCTGTGTGTTTTTTTTATTGAACATAACGTGCAAACGATTATTGTTTTTTTGTACTTGAGTTAATAGATTTTATGGTGGCATAATCTACCATTATAGACAAGCACTGTAATTTAATAGTCACGCAATATGTTCGAGACATTACTTCGATTTAAGACTGGTTTACATTGTCAGAGTTTCTGTGATCACAGTAGGAATTTTGCAAAGATAAATTCTAAGCCTTGAAAGATTTGTAAGAAATGTTTGAGCATTGTTAATATAATAAGTGGTTTGGAAACTCATTATGAATAACAATATAACTCATTATCTATGTTAGTCAACGTTTATTCATAAATATGGTCTTTCACCGTCACGTGTGCATTGAATTTTTTCCAAATCCACCAATAGCAATTTCCAATTTACCCAATAGTTCGAGTCACGGATAGCGGGATAGGTAAATTTCCTAAAACATTGCTATTGGATAGTTGGACAAAAGTACAATACGCACGTGACGGTGAAGGGCCATATTTATGAATAAACTTAGACTAACATAGATAATGAGTTATATTATTATTCCAATGAATTTCCAAACCTTCTATTCTATTGACTATGGTTTGAGGGAACTGCCATCATAGTGTTAAATAATTGGAAAATGAAGTCGGTTCCCTTATAAACATTTCTTACAAATCCTTCAAAACTTGGAATTTACCTATGCGCTCAAACTAAATTGCAACTCGAACAAGAAAAAATACAGTGGCCACAGGAGCTTCAATCCTTTAATTTTCTAAAGAATTTTTATTTTACCTTTTCAGCATATGTTATAAAGTTTAAAGCCTCGAGGTCAAACGAGGATGAGAGTTCACAGAGTTGGCAGGCACGCATTGTTGCAGGAGACATTTCAAGCTCTAGATTAACAAAGTCAAGATGTGATGAGTGTTTCAACTCAGCTAACCTAGGTCTCGTGACTGCCAACTACTACCAACTCCAATGCACACTCATCCTCGTTCATTGATTCGGGCGTAAGCCAGTGGTAGATGTTAAGTCTGTACCACAACAGTTTTCCGCAAATTTTGTCGCACCAATTTTGTCGCACGAAGTACTGATCCATATATAGGATATTAGTTCACCCAAACTAACAACTATACTTTAACTATATAATACTTAAAGATGCTGTAATGTCCGTAATGTAAACAAATGCTTTGTTTACATTTTGAACTCAGTGCTACAGTTGTAAAATATGATTAGATATATATTATACTGAATTTTTAACACTCTTCTGGTTCGCTATGCTTGTAAAGAATACAGACAATAGAGATTCAATTCAAGAAAGTTCGGAAGGTGCGAAATATTAATATAAACATTCCAATGGTCGGGTGCCGACCGACGCATGCGCAGAATGGAATTTACAGCATCTTTAAGGTTAAATACAGTCAGGAGGGCTGTAAAAAGTATCGCAGCCTGTGTTTTAGGAGAAAGTTGAAATTGTAATTACGTGATTTATATAGCCTGGATCGCAAGTACATAAATATTTTTTGTTGAGTCTGGGTTGACTATCTATTGCGTTTCTATCTTTTCCGTTAATTGTTGTTGCGTTAGGAAGGATGCATCTGCGGGGCACTTCCTAACGCCGGATTTACGTTGTCTATACAGAAATCTTTTCTGCACAGTGGAGGAAAGATGAACCATAGTTAATATGGATGAACGCATACGACAAGTAACGGAAGATCGATTACGACACGACAGGAAAAATTAACATAAATTTCCCATTTGTTGGGAAGTCATTTGAAACGCTAGGATGATTTTCAAAATTTACAAGTTGTTATCATATTAAACGGCTTCGGAAACTGTAAAGAAAATAGTAAGGAAAACATACTAAGATCTCATTTACACGATGCCGGATGGCCCGGCCATCAACATACAGTATCATATGCCTTCGCATGTCTGCCAACAAATTTTGCCCCTTTGTCTTGGACTGTTTTCGTTTTATTTTGTTATATTATCGCAATTTTAAGAGTTAAGATAGTCACGACACCGCCGTTAAATTCGATGTCGTGACTAGCGAATCCGGTTTATCAAACTGGGTCCTTCAGTGCTAAATTGTCAAAAAGGGTGAAACCAAATTTTTACTATAGGATAGTTGGCACGCGACTAGCAAATCAGCACGATATATATAGTCGTTTTACCTCAACAACTTGTTTCATCCAAGAGGAATCATAATATAACATTTAACTTAACACCATGCATGAGCTAGTAAGATTGCGCGGTATATTTATAATAAGTATTTGTGTCTGTCTCTAGAGTCTAGTGTCCTTTCAATGTTAGTTATAAGTTAAAAGTTATTAGAAGCGCATCTGTACTCCTGTAGGCTTTGGCCCGTTTCAAAGCGGTTTGCCATTTAATAGTAAAGACTATAGTATAGTCGATGACGATGTTGTGGAGTTTTAAATTCGCATACTTGCGTGCATTAAATTCACATGTATATGTATGTAAACTGTTTACTAATTAGCGCTGTTCAAAATATTTTTAGAGAAGTTTGGTGTTAATAATTTAATAATGATTGAATTGAGGTTTTCAATATGGGAATTGCTTCAAAATTCTCTTAATTTATAGGAAGTTCTATATTTACGATTTATAGGAAGTTCCCTATAAGGTGTGGAAATTCAATTTTTCTAAGGAAAATTTTGTTGTAGAAGGGTATTGTTGTTTCTGCGCAATCATAGCAAAAGTTATAATTGTTATATTGGCTGTAATTAGTAAAATGCATGCCTCATTTAGGAAGCACATGGAACTTTTATTATACCGTCATATATGAATCATCTCGATAAAAGAACCTTTTTTATGCCCATTAGAAAAGGAAGTTTATTAATATGCATTTGACAAACATGACACAATATCGCTCTTAATCATTACGCCATATATTTGACCGTTGCCAGCCCAGTATGGTCATATTAATGTATTTGTTCTGCTTGTGAGCAACACCGAAGTCGCGAGCTATATCTTAAGAAAATATATTTATCCACATTATATATATACTGTACAATAGTTAGTATATATTTTTAAGTTTACGAGTCATTGGAATTGTCGGTCCAAAAAGTTTGGTGGAGTATTATTCTATTGTAATTTGGTCTATTTTACGGCAGTTTTAATCTATACAAGAATGCTTTCTGTACGATCTTGGTGTATCGAAAATAATATTGGGGTAAGGTTGTATATAAATGTACGAATATGCATGTGTATTGAAGAATTAATTACTTGTACGAAACTGTATTCATCCTTATAGAAGTCAAACATGCATATATATCCATATATCGGCATATTTTCCGAGTTAATTAATTTCAGGCCACATCTGCTGGTTATATTTTTTGATTAATAATTATAAACTGCAGCGCGTATGCCCCTTTCGGAGTATATTCAAGTATTTCAACCATATACAGTATAGCTGCCACAATATAGGCAATACGCCGTCGTACATTTAGTTTGTGTCTTAACGGCTATAACTACCAGAAAAGCACAATCGAGCGAATTGCATGAGGCCTTTAAATTTTATAGTCAGCATTTTAACCGTTCAGTTGCTAGATGCTTACTATACTACGTCGACACTAGCTTGTTTTTCGTGCAACTGCAGCGCCTTATTCTTCTTAGTTATTTTAAGAGTGACAACGCTGGAAATTTCATACAAAGAGTTTTTCAAGAAGATGCAACATGCATGAAGCTCGCGTCGAGGCTTAATTCAATTGCCGTGCTGCAGGACTAGTACATGTTGTCATTTATCTTTCAGATGAAAACTGCATGATTTGAATCTTTGAAGTCCATTATATGTGCACAATTCGGTTGAAGTTATCGAGGAAATGGATTCATTTTCCATTTCATTATGTTTTTGCCATGTTTCGGAAGGTATATTGGCCTCATTTCGGAAGAATAGGTACTCGAAATTTGTATAGATAATGAGTACAAAACACAAACAAGGAATAATTAGGTGTGAAATGTTATTTTGGAATATCACGGTATATACTGTACCTAAAAGTCTAATTTTCAATACCATTAACTTGAAACTATATAACACTATTGCAATAATGGCGTGAAATATTTTGGAACATTATTGTATATTGTCCGTGCATTTAATAGAAAATTCACACTATATTTATTTATATTGGATAGCACTATCAGTTCCAAAACTGTTCTCCCTGGAGGTCCAGTTAAAGGCCGAACCGTATTGGTCCAGTGTTACTACAGGAGGAAACCTGAACTAAACTAACTTTATTTATACTGGATATAGCTCTATCAGTTCTAAACTGTTCTCCCTATATAGAGGTCCCATAAGAACCATCCTTTATTTGTCTAGTGATAGTACAGGAAGAAACCTAAACCAAACTAACTTTATTTATACTGGGTATAACTCTGTCAGCTCTATCAATTCTAAACTGTTCTCCCTAGAGGTCCAGTTAGGATCATCTCTTATTGATCAAATGTTACTACAGGAGGAAATCTCAACTAAACTAACTTTATTTATTTGCTGGATAGCTCTATATCAGTTCTGAACTGTTCTTCAAAAAGAGGTCCAGTGAGGGTCATCCCTCATAGCTCTACCAGTTTCAAAACTGTTCTCCATGGAGGTCCAGTAAAAGCCGAGCCTTATCGAATATTGGTCCAGTGTTACTACATGAGGAAACGGGAGAAATCCTGTGGTATTTGGTAGAGTCAAACTGGAAGCACTCTTCTCACATATAACGAAACGACAGTAACCGTGATGCCACCACAATTAAGGTGGTATTCCATTCCTGTGGTGACATTAGTCTGCAAATCGTGTCGAAATTAGTTTGATATTGTACTAGCGCGGCTAAATTAACCAATTTAAATATTTCTCCCTGTTTGCCAGAATAATTAAGAAAAATATATATGAAAGGGAATTTGTTTCGGGTGTGTGAGAATTTAGTATTGAAGTGTTCCTTCCGATACAAATTGCTCAACAAATATGGCGCCGTAAGGCTGACGTGTTTCGTTCCAGACTTTTCGGAGTTTTTCGTCCCCCTCTCTGGTTTTTCTAAATTTAACATTTTGTTCAATAAATAGAATCTACCCACATGAAACAGTACAAGGTTCCTTTCATGGAGACAATAGAGTTATAGGAAAAGGACGTTGCATATATTTATGCATATTCATGCGTGTGCAAAAATATGGGAAAACAATTGTGTTGTTCATGCTTAAAATCAACAGATACTTCCCGAATTTGCTGCATGGCTATAGCAATGAAAACTATATTTATTTACAATACTCCCAATAGATTACATCGTTTGTCTCGAGTTGAAGCTATTGTTCCGTGTCTTCGACAAGTGTCTATTTTTTAATATAGTCTTTTCATGCTAATTTTCCTAATATTTCGCTGAAAAAATGTTGCTTTTAAAGATGTTTTGGGAGATCGTTAATTTGTTTGGGAAATATCGTTATGGTATACGACTACGTAATATATACAAAAATCTATTTGTGTAATTACGTATTAAATAAGCAATGCGCTTATATCTACAAATACCATCTTTAGATTGATGTATACGTTAGGGTAATTTTGTTTTTAATAAAATATATCGGACCTGCAAGCTATAGTCAAGTGGGCCAATATGTCCCCCTTGATGAACTCCAACGCATGCGAAACGTTAAAATATTCTCATACACGATACAATCAGCCTTTATATTAGATAAACATTTGTCGCATGTCAAATGTAGATGTTATATAAAAGGAAAGAAACTAGCTTTCAAATAATAATTGTTTTTTCTGTGTTGGTGTAATGTACTCAGGTGAATATGATGCTTGTGATGTTACTCTGAGTGTATATCCACACCGGGTAAGCTTGAAAAATATGCCTGGCCACGGTGGGAATCGAACCTACGACCTTTGGAATACTAACCCAATGCTCTGCCAACTGAGCTACGCGGTCAGGTCGGCAGCTCAGTTGGCAGAGCATTGGACCAGACCTGACAGCGTAGCTCAGTTGGCAGAGCATTGGGCTAGTATTCCTTAGGTCGTAGGTTCGATTCCCACCGTGGTCAGGCATATTTTTTCAAGCTTGCCCGCTGTGGATATACACTCAGAGTAACATCACATTTCAAATAATAAATAGCATTTTGTTTTGTGAATTGTGACCATTAATAAATGCAAATTTCAGAACTATAAGCTAAAGTTAAACTTGCTCTATTTCTACTACATGCATAGATAGTTTTAATCAGTTTTAAACGAGTCTCCCTACAAGAGGAAACCTAAGCTACATGCCTTTATTTATACTGGCTAACTTTATGAGTCTTAATTAAACTGTTCTCCCTTGAGACCTAGTAAGGATTATTTATCTTTTTAAATTTCCAATTTTAATATTTTTGGTATAGTCACACTGGAACAACCCACACGATAAGGGCGATATTAAAAAATATAAAAAGTGCATCCTTTTTTAGAAATCGGAACATTGTCACAGAGTGGAAATCTTAGCACACCCCATAAAATGTGCCTCTCGTTCCCATATATGTATCACTAATTATTCCCAAACCTGTTTCTTGTTGCACAGTTACTTAAGTGTTATATTTCTTTGATTTCCTGTATAGGTATATCTTGATGAATCATCTGGGAAAAAAATCCAATCTCTGACCGTATTCTGTCGACATTGTGGTCAAGGCTGTAAGTGGAAGGGACCTCTAAGAAAACTCAAGGTAAATTTATTGATCATTCTTCTTCTGTCTATCATTCTAAAGAAGAAGTCTATCATTCTTCTGTGATATTCTTCTGAACTTTATTTATTTACTTCCTTGCCTGAAATACATTAACAGGGAGTCCGTTTTTCAGCGCTAGCCAATTACTGCGGACCCATTACACTGACAAACAAGTTGTTACAAATCTATTCACAAGCTGTCGACAACTTGTGTTCGCACTGCATGCTTGTTCCAAGTTGTTGTAATTAGTAGTTGATGGCATTATCAGACTTGTTACACGGTTATTCTAACAGGTCTGATATAATCATGATATAATGACACAAGGTTGTAACAATATTGTTATACCATGACTGTATCGGATTTTTTGGAACAACCTTGCAACGAGTCTGATAATATCAACAAGGTTGTTGCAAGTTGTTAGCAGCTTGTTCCAAACTTGTTGACAACTTGGGACAAGCAGTGCGAACACAACTTGTTGACGGCAAGATGTGAGATTTTTGCGTGTGTAGAACGAGTGAAAAACAACGTCATATATAAAGCGCCCTGATCATTATACTCTACATGCAGCACGAGATTGGAACAGCTAGACTACGAACGGAGTTACACATGGTTCATGGCCGGATTTTGAGGGGAGGTGTGGGGAGGTGCGCACCTTCCAAGAGATCGTTTTGCACCTCCCCTGAAAATTCATGCACCTCCCCTATGGAAAGGTTCAAAATGACACTTTGACAAATGTGACCATTTTAATGCAATGTTTGAAAGAAGCTTTGTACTGTGTAAAGTAATGAAGGGCGACATTGGATGAGTCGTACATAAATACACTCAGTCTGATACATATGTACAATACATGCATACAAATTTTTGGGGCGTACATACTAAGCCCTAAATTATTTATGGGAGCTGTAAGCTAGACCACAGCACCTTCCCTAAATTTTTTTCCACCTCCCCCATCATTTCCACCAAAATCCGGCCGGATCGGCCATGATATGGTTCTTACTCATAGATATTATCTTTCTGCCTATCACATAACCACTAACATTAATTATCTTCCCTCCAGGCTCATTTGTCGACTTGTGACTTCGGCGTTATCGACTGTTCCAACAAGTGTGGGGTTCAACTCATGCGAAACCAACTTGAAGAGCACGTGCGCAACCTTTGCTCGAACCGCTACGTGCCATGCGCCACCTGTCACCAGGATATCCTCCGTGAAGAACACGAGGTAAAGCAGAAACGTTTCGAACTGATAGAGCTCTACAGTATAACACAGTTTCGAACTGATAGAGCTCTACAGTATAACACAGTTTCGAACTGATAGAGCTCTACAGTATAACACAGTTTCGAACTGATAGAGCTCTACAGTATAACACAGTTTCGAACTGATAGAGCTCTACAGTATAACACAGTTTCGAACTGATAGAGCTATCCAGTATAACACAGTTTCGAACTGATAGAGCTCTACAGTATAACACAGTTTCGAACTGATGGAGCTCTCCAGTATAACACAGTTTCGAACTGATAGAGCTCTCCAGTATAACACAGTTTCGAACTGATAGAGCTATCCAGTATAACACAGTTTAGTTTAGGTTTCCTCCTGTAGTACAGCTAGACCAACATAAAAGATGGCTCTTGCTGGACCTCTAGGGTTTAGAACTGATAGAACTATCCAGCATAAATAAAGTTAGTTCAGATTCCCTTCTGTGGTAACATTTGATTCATGAGGGGTGCCCCTTCCTGGAAGAACTGATAGAACGATCCATGCAGAATAAATAAAGTTAGTTTAGTTTAGGTTTTCTTCTGTAGTAACACTGGACCTCTCTCCTCCACAGAGCTTTCCTAACTTTTTAACTATAAACAAGGCGAAGCTTCGATAACATAAGACTTAAACAAGGGATAGAGGCGCTAGACTGTAATGAGCGAAACCACCGCCGAAAATGATGGCTCTTACCGGACCTCTAGGGAGAACAGTTCAGAACTGATAAAGCTATCCAGAATAAATAAAGTTAGTTTAGTTCAGGTTTCCTCGTGTGATAACACTGAAACAATAACGAATTTCCCTTATCGCATCATGAGAACTAATTGGCGAGTTTTGTGGAATTTTTATAACTGCATGTAATTTATTGAATTACAGAAACATTCTCGTTCGTGCACAAAGGAAAACACCTCAACCGCAAGTAAATTACGTCAGCATATCAAAAACCTTGGTCGTTCAAGACATGATTCGCTTTCATTCGCCAGTAACTCGTCCCAGGATCTACCACCGATGCGCGCCACCTCGGTGCCAGCTCAGCTGAATTTTGTCGGTAGGACTGACGTTCCTCAAAGGACAGCAGAGGAATGGCATGGAACTACAGGTATGTATAGGAATAGTTAGGGAATGCTGTTGTAACGTTACCGAAAAGGATACCATTCAGTTGTCACACATGTCCTTTACCACTTCTGTGACACGAGTTTGATAGCTGCTTGTACAATTTTCTGCAGTGTAAAAGTTCATGTTGTCTGCACATGTACTTTCTTTGGAGACAACATTTGCCTCCTGACATATCGGAAAATGACTCTGACTCTGACTCTGACTGATTTAGACATTGTATTGACATATGACTGTTCAGTGTTCACATTGCTTTTTAGTCTTCAATATTTGAGGGAGTCATGCTTTGAAAATGACAATATTTTTTTATTACCCAACCCTTGAATTGCTTTTCATTTACCCAACCTTTTACTCACTCAAAATTTTGTTTACCCAACCCTTTTCTCTTCGATGCTACCCCCTCCCCCCCTGCCATAAATAATGACCAGCACCTAATGTATTAATGAAATTCTGTGTGTGTGGTTTTCATCAGTTGTTTTAATTTTAATGGTCATGATCGATTTCTCGTCCAGCAGGTCGGCGACGCAACCGTCGCACACGTCAGATGTCATTCGAACGCGACTTCAATATTCAAGAAACCGTACAGGAGGAAGAGACAGCCCGAGACCTCCCAGATTCCCCGCCTCCGTCCCAGGGCGCGCCATTGCGTCGGAGAGCCGACTTTGGAAGTCAGGTCGTGTACATGGGTTCCTCGAATAACCCTCCTCCCCAGACCTCAACCGAGCGCGAACTTTTCACGTGCGTGTGTGGTGCTTTGATGGCGAATGAGGAAATTACTACACATATGTCAGAGGAATGCCCAAAACGCTTGACACTCTGTCAGTATTGTCGAAAACAAGTCGGACATGCTGAACTACAGGTTAGAACAAAGACTGTTCACTTTGTGTCAAATGAGAGTTAGCAGTCACACAGTGAGTTTAGTTAAATATCATCGTTAAATATGTAAACATGTCGAAGTTGTTATACAGCCATATTTTCAAATATACCGTTCATTAACAAGAAAATTTACTGTGCTGTGCTACAGCAACTGTCCAGTCACGCATACGTAATAAAAAGCCAATATAAACTTTATAAACAAAAGATAATGTAAAACGTAACAGAACGGCGAACATGCAGATTCGGCCATCTCAAATAACGGTAATGTTGGGATAGTAGCATTGCAGACTGCAGAGGAGAGTGGGCAGTAAGGCTCCAATACACTTTGTTACCAACGACTCGCCAGCCTTTTCAATCAATATTTTCCTCTTTGTTATTTCAGGAGCATCTTAGAGATTGTCCAAGGTTCCCACTCAGTTGTCCAAACAGCTGTGGAGTTCGCCAGATACCGCGAGAAGATGTACGGGAATAATAGTATATATACATTTCGTTTTTGTAATCGATTTCTCGAAATACTGTGTGCCATTGTCATTTATTTCATTAATATTGTGTGTAATATTGTGTTTACTGTATCTTCACAGGTTAATCGTCATGTCACGAATGACTGTTCCGCTATATTGGAAGTCTGTCCTTTCAAATTTGCTGGATGCGGTCACAAGGTATAGACGCTACTTATTCTGCTACTAAATCTTCCATCTTCCTATTAAACCTCGGCTTATAGTTTATTTTAATTGGATCAGCATGGCTATAATGCTGAATTTATTAAAACTTAAAAGGAATTAGAAATTATTTAGAAATGTTTTCCGTCTGTCTGCTATGGACCTAATCGGTTTTATGTTTATACCCATAGTTACCAAATTCACATTTTCAGATAAATTGCATGCCTAGTTACTACTGATAATGTAAATCTGGTTTCCTCTGTCAAAATTTCTGTGATGACAGTATAGGAATTGTGCATGGGCAAATTCGAAGTTTTGAAGAATTTATAAGAAATGTTTGAGGAAAATGACTCGGTGTTAAGCCTTAAGCATAGAATGGAACATATATAGGATAGTCTGGAAGCCCGGCAACTTCAAAGCTACAAAATAGAAGACCTTTGTTTGATGTTGAACTGTGCCTCGCCATGCATAAATCCTTCGTCTCAACTTCATTAAATATTATTCATCGTGGTTGCACGTTTCATCTCAGCTAGGACGATTACTTTGTTATAGGAAAACACAATGAATTCAATCACCGGATTGTGTACTAATTAACATAAACTCCGACAAAAACATAATACAATGACTTCTGTTTCCAGACCATCATCTTGATAGACTGTGAATGGAACAAAGCTATCCAGAATTGAAATTATAATATATATAAATTGTAATGTTTTCACATTTGAATATTTGAGTACTTTTCTAATTTTTATTTTCAATTCAAAATCAAATACTTGTAATGTTTCCAGCAAAATTAAGAAATTATTTGCTTTATTCAATCAAATTATCAAACCAAATTAATCATTAATGTTGGACTTATTAGTATTTTGAACTAGTGCTGTGGTACTGTCTTGCATTCCAAAACTTAACGCCCGTTTTCTAAAAGCTCACTCACACTCAATGAGTGGAGGTTCAATATGAGCTTTTCTTGAGTGTCAATGCTGTTTTTGAATGGCTGGAGGGTTAGTGTCGTACCTTATTATGTGACTACTCGCCCTCCAGCTATTCAAAAACAGCATTGACACTCAAGAAAAGCTCAGATTGAACCTCCACTCATTGAGTGTGAGTGTGAGACTGTGAGCTTTTAGAATACGGGCGTTAGTTAGTCTAAGACTAAGAGGTCCATTTACAGTACATAGCTAAAACCTAGAATTATATAACGTAACATTACATATATTACTATAAATCTATAATAAAACAATTTAAACATTGTTCCTATTAAAGTACCTATAGTCAGTAGGATTAAGACTGTTCTGAAGTCATCAATATTTTAAGATCTTTCTTAAATTGAATCAAGTTTTTAAAATTCCTAAATTATGCAAGTCTCATGCAAAACATCTAACCTAATTTTCGCCTGTCTTTCTTAGTGTCCCCGGGCGAACATCAACCGTCACTTGGAGAACAAAACGAAGGAACATCTGAACCTAATGTGTAAGTTATCCGTGAAACAATCAAAAGAAATCAACGAGCTTCAGGCTACGGTCAAACACTGCAAGCCTTTCAACCAGGGCCAACTGCTGTGGAAAATTGACAAATTCGCAGCCTGTTTGGAGACGGCTAAAGAGATAAGCGGCTACGAAATTCACAGTCCACCGTTCTATACAGATCAGTACGGGTATAAATTCATGATCGTTGCCTTCCCGAACGGCAACGGGAGCGGAGAGGGCACACATCTCTCGTTATATGTTCGCCTTCTTGTCGGAGAGTACGATTCTCTTCTGAAATGGCCTTTCCTGGGAGATATTACGCTAACTTTGATCGAACAGTCGCCTGACGCAAGCAAACAACGGCATATTAGCCAGAACTTTTCACCCGACCCAAAGTGGACCAGTTTTCATCGCCCGAAAAAGAGCTCGAATACCCCCGGTTTTGGTTACCCCCAGTTCGCAGCGCATGAGACGCTTCGCACGCGAAAATATATCGTCGACGACGCCATCTTTATTCGAGCAACGGTCGAACTTCCTCAGATTATCGAAGCTTGAGCCCACGAATTATTGTGCAGCAGTCTCGTCACTTGAGCTCAGCAGTTTTGTGCCTTGAGCCTGCAAATTTGTTGAGCAGCGGTGTTCTTTCCATGAGGCTGCGATAATTTGGAACAGCGTAATGGTGAATTGAGCCAGAGAAATTTTCAAAAGTTTGGAGCAGCGGTATTGTCACTTGAACCTGCGAGCTTTTGAAACAGCGGATTTCTGGATTTATCCACTGACCTATATAATATCAAGTGGATTTACTGGACTAAAAACTTTTGAAATACATGTATGATTTCACTTTTTTCTTTTTCAAAGTTTTTAGCAACATATATATGCAAATTATATACGGTAAAAATGTATTAGCAAACCAAGTATTGTTCAAAAACGGTATTGTTTACATGTAGTTTTGAACATGGGTAAAAAATGTGATGTTATGATGCCAAGTTTTGAGCAAAATGGTTGGCCAGTGGCCCAAGACTATTTTTCGCTCAAGCATAAAAATATTTACACTCGGGTTGCGAAGAAGACAATGCATGCATAGACCATTTATATTAATGGAATTTTCAACTCGTAGATTTAATAATGATTAATTTAAACCATTTGATATTGAGTTTCAATTTTGTTGTATAAAATATATAATCATGAAATATTGCAGGCTTCACGCGGTAGAGAGGTAGATTAAGCGACTTATATTATCGGCACAACTGTACAAATATTTTTATATCCAATAAACCATACGCCAAACTGTATTTCTGACCGTGTTTTGTTTTGTCTCTCTATCTTTGTAAAGCACACGATTTTCTGCTCTTTCTTGGGAATTTAAAGCAGCTTCTTAAACAGTTTCTTTATGCATGTGGGTTTATAGCAGAGTGCTAGGACATTCAAATTCTAACAATACGTCATTTCAATACTTTTGGGTTTTTTTGGATACCGGATGACAGAATAAAGATCCATACAGAAGGGCCTCGCGCATGTCGCATTACGCATGTCGGCCGCCATTTTCCTAGCCAGTCAATGACATTTTCTGGCCAATAAACACGCTCCACCTTCAGTAGTAAGCTGCATATTTTTCGGTTATACTGATCTTTATTCTGTGACCGGACTCTGTATAAAGGCCGATCTACATGCATTACACAACTTTTGCGTAATTAAAACTGTCGCATGCAACCTAGCTGCTTATAGCTGAGGCCCCGTTTACACTGTACCTGATTCGCTGGTCACGACATCAGTTTTAACAGTCGATGAAATAGCCTAAACATTTAGAATGGTAGTAACAAGCAGAAGCATGCGGAAGTTATCGAAAGAGTTAAGCCTGGTTCACATATGTCTGCGAGTGTATCATTATGCCTCTACTTGCCGCCGAAATACCGGTAAAGTTGAACTCAACTCAACTTTCCCGGCCTACCGCCGATGTAACTGTGGCACTGGAGGCAATCGGCGAACAAATATTCACATAATTTACGTTTTAAGCTACCACCGGCATCGTCGCCGGTACGTCGCAGGCATATATGTGAACCAGGC